TTTGTAATGTGCGCCCCTTTAGTAGGTTAGGTTAGGTTAGTATGTTAAAGCATGCCAGAACCGAATTTGCATTTGAATTTGAATTTTTCTTTCCGAACATGTTTTAGGTAAATTTATTTAAGTTTTACAAGACTGAGATTTATTTAAACTTATGATTTTTATTTTAAATTAGTGTTAGGGCTCATGATTGTTTCCAATAATGAAATATAGAATCGAAGTTTCTAAATCAAACGTTCGTTATATTAAGTGCATTTTTATATGAAAAAAGTCTATATTAAATGAGCGTTAAGTTAAATATATTTATGTGATACATTACACACCATTGTGAAAGAGTTCGCCCAGAGAAGTACCTGTCGCTACCTCCTTAGCTATCGCTGCTGCGAAGCAGTAATGTATGCAATACTACGTTTTGAAGGGTACTGGTGAAATCATAGGCACATTGGACTTGTCAACAGGGGTAGTGGGTAATTTTAATAAAGCTTATTTATTGCTAAGTAAATATGCTCATGGAATTGAATGTATTGTTGTTTATACGAAAAGTAGGTTATTGTACATTTGACACTGGTTTAATTTTTTTGAGTTCAAAAGTATCTACCACCCGTGTACTACACGACATTTTCCATACATTTGTGAGAAAACAGCGCGTTTTTCTTTGTTCACTGTAATATGCAATTTTCGTAATCCCCAATATTGTTGTTTCTAAAATTATACGGCAAGTGTTTCAACTGTATTTCGGAACTTGCACTTCACTAAAACAACAATCACACGAACTTGGTTATGTTTCAGGGTGACTGGCGCAGCGCGAGTGGCCCGCAAACTGTACGATTTAAAGCGCTGAGTGGCACTGGAACTGCTACGAACAGGCGTGACGCTTACCACCGGTATTAACTGCCTCCATAGTTACCATTCTGGTCAGGCACGCAGAGCTCCCGGGTTCGATTCCCGGCCCGGGAGAAATATTTTTAAGGCCTACATTTATTTCTCTCGTGAGTTTAATTTGTGTTTGTCTATGTTTGTGTCCATGGCACTTGCGATACAGGGTTTCCCTAGTGCGGGGCTATGTTGAGTGTGTGCGTTATTATTATTATTATTAAGTATAATTGCTTACCTATGAAATAAAGATAATTTGACGTTATTTTTTTTTTCAAATGCCCCCTTGACAGCGTCAATATTCCCGATTGTTTCTGAGGCCCCTACAGCCTAGGAGTGTTCAGCGCCCACTGGGCGGCGCAGGGACCACTTTAGAGTAGGCTGAGAACTGAGAAGCGTTTGCTTTGTTATGCACCCAAACCCGTTTTACTAAATGTTATTTGTGTTTTCCTGTGCAATAAATAATTAAATAAAAAATATAATAAATAGATTTAACTATGTAAATGACGACTTTTTACGTAATTGGTACAATTTCAAATAATGGATTATTATCAAGCTGGAATAAGACACTACGATTTTTTATACGGAAATTACAATCCGATGCCTCGATTTACGAAATATAGCGAATTATATGATGAATGAGATTACGTAACGCTGCCAGGAAATTCTTTAGTAAATATGTTTATAAATACAATTTCTGTAATTTATCAAGGGTGACACTTAGGTATTCAACGATAATATCATGTAACATGTTGGTAAATAGAGACGCAAATATATTAGTATGCTATCTTAGTAAAATCCAAAGCGAACCAGTTATTACCGATCCTTGCAACAGCTTAGCACAACAAAGTAAATGAATGTTTGTGTAGTTATTTTGTTAATTATTTTACGGCTCATTTGCTACAGATAATAAGTAATTAGCAAGGAGCGAAATAGACGGAGTATATTTACCTAAAGTTTAAGAGAGTGATACATATGTAGCGGACATCGAGTAAAATAACCAGTAATGGAGACGATATGTCATTTCATTTGTTTGAAAACTATTCTGCCAAATTATTACGGTGACAACTGCGCCCGATTGGCCAGTCCGAATTCGAAACATTCGACCAGTATAACTTGCGCTTTGCGTCATTTACGAAAATTTAAAAATTACATATTTAATATTTAATTACCCATGAAATGTGAGTCCGTTTTGTAATTAATTAGATGTTTTGCGGTTTTTCCCACACCACTTCTTCTTTTTGTCTTTATACAATAAATATAATTTGTGATTTCAGCGCAAACGAGAGTTGATATTCAAAAGTGATATAAGGCTCATTTGCCTGATGAGTTGCTAGGGATGGATGGCCCTTATTTCGTCTCTATTTCTATAGTACTACACGCGATTATGAAATAATATTTCATGGTAATATTCTAGAGTACTTAAATAATAAAAATTGTCTCAGGAATTACGTATAAAACACTGACCTGAAAATCACCCACGTATAGCCAATAATTTCTATCTATACAGTTACAGAAACGAAGTAACTAAATTCCCCTTAGACTTTTAACGTACAGATACAGATACAGATACAGATACAGATACAGATACAGGGTCCGTCCCAAAAGTATCGAACATTTTTTTTGGGAGTGTTGCCGAACGGCGGGAAGCGCTCCGCTTGGCAACAGAAAGTGGTGGGGGGATCTAGCTGATACAGCGCGACCGGTCCCAGTTGGCTCCGAGCACCTGGAGCGGCAGGACGTGCGTTCGCGTAGAGCTCTAAACGACACCTCGTCGAAGTTTTTAAAAGTAGCGCGATGACGGATCCGTTAGAACAGAGGTACGCAGTGAAATTTTGTGTTCTACTCGGCAAAAATACTGTGGAAACCAACGAGATGATTAAACAGGCCTTCAAGGACAAAGCCTTGTCCGAATCCTCGGTCAGGAAGTGGCACAAGATTGTTAGCTTCTTTGTTAGCAACCTTCATTGTTAGCAACTATCTGGCCAAAGCAGGAGTCCCGCTGGTCCCGCAGCCTCCCTACAGTCCTGACGTCGCCCCGGCAGACTTCTTCTTGTTTCCCAGCATCAAGTCGAAGCTCAAAGGCAAGCATTGAGGCACAATTAAGGACATCCAAGAAGCTACGACGAGGGCGCTGAAGGACCTACCCGTTGACGTCTTCCAGGGGGCCTTCCGGGCATGGAAAACTCGCCTACAAAAGTGCATCGATGCTGAAGGGTGTTATTTTGAAGAGTACTAATGTATGGTACCGATAAGTTCAATAAAAGTATTTTTCCTGAAAAATGTTCGATACTTTTGGGACGGACCAGATATGTTTGATAGTAATATTGTAAACCGCAGTTAGATACTTTTTGCACTACGTTCTCGTAGTCGTTTGTGAACTTATTTCTCTTACGGCGTCTATTTTTTAAAAAGGAAATATTATACCAATAACAATTTTACAAATGAATTCTTAATGTCATCAACTCAAAAATGTTTGCGTTTAAACTTTGTAATCAGCGAAGTAGCCTGGCATGTTACTCGGTTTATTTGTATGAAAACATTTGGGAAATAATTCAGAAACTTTTTCTCGCACCGAGTTCCCGTACCAGAGGTACCACTTTCATGAGTCTGTGAATGAATGAAGTTTACGTGCCAACTTAAGTAGCGACTTATTACGTTTTATAGGGTGGACTCACTTAAATCCCGTTTCTCGCTGCGCCGGGATAAATCGTTTGGGTAATTATAAAAATAATTTGTTTCTAATTCATAATTTTGTTAAAGGGAATCCAATTATATTTTGTTAAGGTTTTTCACCATTTATGTTTATTCATTACGGGATTTCAGACATTAAAACGGTTATTATCCACTCTATGTATATTACTCGAAGTTTAGGTAAATACATTAGTAGATAAATAAGTTAATTAATTTTCAATTATGTATGTGACGTGTTTCAATTAGAAAGATAGTTCTTATATTTATATACGTACTCACGTAGGTAGACAAATTTTGCAACAGATTCATTTCATAAAGTCCTTTGACTTTACATTTCAATAATCTATAATTCATAAGTAAGCAAATGACAAATGAAAATGACGTATTATGAATTAAATTCTTCTGTGAGAAGCTAATGGACAGCGTTCGACAAATATTAAACTAGTATGGCCAACATCTTGCATGGCAATCTCTGGCACTTGCCGCTTTGTCACCACGCACCGTTCATGGTAAAATACATAAACAAACATCGCCACGCTTTTACCTCGGTGGGCTAGACAAAGTTTATGAATTTCCGTTGGCTACAAAGGATCGTTGAGGTCGGACCAAGAGATAAGTACACTAGAATCGTAATAAGTAGCAATCTCTCGCATAATCTAAGTTCAAAAGTCGAACTTAGATTAAGCGAGAGATTACTTTCAGAGGATAGCCATTTTTGAGCACATTCTCAAAGCCAAGGTCAAATTATCTTTATTTCATAGGTAAGCAATTATACTTAATAATAATAATAATAACGCACACACTCAACATAGCCCTGCACTAGGGAAACCCTGTGTCGCGGGTGCCATGGACACACACACATAGACAACCACAAATTACACCCAAACTCACGAGAGAAATAAATATAGGTCATACAAATATTACTCCCGGCTCGGGAATCGAACCTGGGACCTCTGCGTGGCAGTCCGACATGGTAACCGTTCGGCCACGGAGGCAGTTAAAGCTTAAAATCGTCGTATTGATTAAACTCTACAGTTCATTCGTAAGGCAGATCCCTCTGAGATTTTTGAGCAAGGAACTCTAGGAATTGCTTTTTTTAAATAAACACATAAATACAAATTGATAGACTTAAATAAATACAAACACAAATTTTTAAATACACATTTACCATTTTAATATTTATTTCAAACATTATTGATCAAGACAGCCTACAATCTTTAGTATAAAGTTTTTGTTTTACTATAGTTTCAAATCCCGTGAGTAAAAAAAAATAATATCAACCGGACTCTTAATAAAGAAGCGTATACATTGCCCCTTAAATGAATTTGTGACAACCTGGCCATAGGACATATACGAGCAAGCTCTACATTTTTGTGCATTTTTACCTAAGCTATTTATACTTCTATTCAACATATTCCTTCTACAAACTAATAATGAACATTAACAACAACAACAACAATTATTAAGTAAGGGTTATCTACAGCTACTAGTCCTTTTTTAAAAATTTTGTCTTTACGGGACAAAATAAGGTTCTAAAATCTTTTGTGTACGTGAATGTTCTCTTTCTTAAGTCATGTAGTTCAAGTAACGCTGGCTTACGATAACAAACAGAAGAGGATTGGGCCTATCTACATAAGAAGGTTTCATCACCATCATCAACCATTTATACGTCCGACTGCTGGGCAGGGGTCTCCTCTTAGTCGAGGGTATTAGGCCATAGTTCGCCACGCTGGCCCGATGCGGGTTGGGGACTTAACAAGTTTTCCGAGGGTTGTGAATCTTCTTGGATGCGCAGGTTTTATCACGATGTTTTCCTTTACCGAAAATTAATTCCGAGAAACTAAAATGCGAGGCCGGATTCGAACCTACTACCTCTGCTTGAGAGGCGGTAGGTCAACTATTAGGCTACCACGGCTTTTTATATATTATAATTATTCTATAATGCATTGCCATTATTTTTCATTTTCAGTCGTTCTTGGTATAAGCTGCAGCTTTTTAATCGTATTAAATAATAAAATGGTTTTACATCAGGCAGAGCGGTGCGGTGCTGTCCATGGCGCGCGTTTTCCGACAGCAGGATTTTCTGTCGTTTTTCCTCCATGAGCCGCTCGCGGTGCTTGTGGATGTAATCGTACACGTTGGGCAGGCCCATTATCACACACGCAGACAACGCCGACCGGTAGATGTTCATGTCCGTAGCTTCGTACCTGGTCATATGTCAAGTTACCCTTACTTCGATAAATCGCCGAACCAGTGAATTATCGAGGGACCATTTCCTGGTTCCATTTTACAAAATCGTCGTCTTAAAGTGAATGAACACCTCGTATACGACTTCGTATCGTATGTAATTTTTCATGACGCAATTAGAAATACGACGTAAAAATTATAGTAAACACAAAAATATTTGTAAAAGGGCGCGGGGCGGAGTGGTGGCGAGCCACTACTCTCGTTTCCTTCTTTCTTTTTAAAATCATATGATACATACATGATACTTATGACTTCAGTAAGAAAGAAGTACACCAGGGTATTTGCTCGTCGACGTCTCCGCCCGCGCCCATTCTGAGTGATTGGACTGACTGTCTGGGCTTTGGCGAGCAGTTTTCGTTGACGGCCACGGGAAGTCATGATTAAGGACCATGGACTGTTTCGAAACGACAAATATTCGACTTAAATACGTATCCGCTAGTTTAGCTAATAGGTTTCTTAATTTTGCTTTCACAAAAATCACTAAAAACAAACCATGTAAAAAGTCGTAACAAGGCTTTTTACTATATGGCGACGAAATGCAGACGTAGACAAAGTCAAGAAAGGGCGATTATTTTGCTGGGGCATTTTTAGAATAAAGACATGGTTGATAGCAATGCTGTGATGGAAGTAGTCGTACCACTCATTAGTCCTCTCGTCATAACATTCGACGTGGTAGATGGTAGTGACGCCGTTGAAGCCGCCGATGGCGAAAATCATGTCGTCGATGACTTCGATGGCGAAGTTAGAGCGCGGATTATACATGTCAGGTACCGGCGCCCATGTGTTGCTCAGCGGGTCGTACACCTCACCGCTGCACATTCGCGAGATTCCATTGAACCCGCCTATTACGTAAATCTGTAAGGTCCAAACTTTGTACTCAATATGTCTCATCTTGAGTCAAATATCTGCCTTCCTTGTCATAACTAACGCATATGCATTTCGGTAACTTTCGAGATATTAAAAAATTCCAATTAAATTAATTTTACAAAAGTGAAACTAATTGGATAGATCATGTCACTGATAGGCAAAAACGCGTCAACCAACATGATTATAGTCTTACGAAAATGGCACTTAAAGATATTTTCGTTGTTTTTGACAGTATATGACGGTATATTCTAAAATTTATTTATAAAATGAAAACTTTTGCTTTTGTCCTTGTTGTTGATGAATGGAAATTTAGTAATAAATCACAATAATTCATCATTCCTAAGGTGACAACATCAAAAGTTTTCATTTTAAAGTAAATTTTAGAACAAACTATCATAAACAACTAAGGTGACATTTTCACAAAACTATGATCATGTGGTTGACACGTTTTAGCAGGCTACGTAAAATGTCGATTACGTTAGTTGCGACAAGGAGAGCAGAATTGTTCGATTTGAAAATTAATCTTCGTGCACTCCTTCGTTCATTATAGGAATATACTCGTATACTTCGCTAAAGAGTGGTAATGATGAAATGTGTAATTGAGGTGGCTGAAGTAAAATTATTGTTGTTTTTACGACGTCGTAACTCCAGACGTATTGATATTTCTGATGTAGTTTTTCCGTTAAACCATGCTCGTAGATAAAAGATTTAGTGTTTGCCTAGGAAAAAAGAAATTAAAAATTTGAGAATACCTAAATACCTTGTTGTGGTAAGCGATACAGGAGACGCCAGAGCGGCGTGAACGCATCGGTGCTAAGTTGGTCCATTGGTTTGTATCCGGATCGTACACCTCTACGCTATTCATGCACTCTTGTCCATTGAACCCGCCTGTTATGTAGATTTTATCTAAAAAGTACATAGAAGATTATTTTTATATCTAAAGTAAGCGCAATGTTAGGCATTCCCGCAGCTATCGTATAGTATCTAGTTTGTACGTTGTAATGTAACATTATACATTATACGTAACATGATAAACTATAGTTTATTGTATAATTTCGTTACAAAAATTCGTTTCCATTCCGATCCGCGGCAATGTTAATTGAGTTTTAAGATGTTATTCCACCGGCATAGAGAGAGACGAGAATGGAAATTTGTATAGCGAAATTTCAATTCCTCCTAGCGCCTCCTCGGCAGAAATGGTCAGGATTTACGAGACGAGAATTTTTTTAAAACCCCGCACAAGGGAAACTCTGTGTCGCGGGTACCATAGAAACACACATAGACAACCACAAATTACACCCAAACTCACTAGATAAATAAATGTAGGCCACAGAAATATTGGCCGAACGGTTTCCATGCTGCTCGGCCAATTTCGGTTCAAGGTCGGTTTCCATGCAGGAGGCAATTGAAATCGACTCATCCGAATAACAGAGTCTGATGTGATTATATAGCGAAAAGAGAATAACTACTTTATGATAATAATTTCGTTATTCAAATTAGGGCTTATGTAAAGGCGTTTTGAGAATTCATATATTCTTATTTCGTTTCGGAGATATAAAATCGAACAACGGTCAATCTGACATCCACAGCGAAGAGGAACGAACGAAATGTATTACGACCTGAGAAGAAGCAGTCTTACATATAGATCTTTGTTCTACGGATCAGTCGAAATATTTGTTGGTGTAATATTGAACCGCATTGCTGCCTGCATGGAGTTATTAACTTTGCAACTAAAACACGATTCCTGTAGGACTAGCACGATAAGACGCAACTTGCGCGAGAGCGACATAAAGTGTGAGATCTCTATGCGAAAATAGCAGTATCTCGCGCGCTTTATGTCGCTCGCGCTAGTCGCGCCCTATCGTGCTAGCTCTACTGCGATAAGGCATCACGCGTATTAGCGCGCGCGGGTCCGCTGCGGACTCGCGTGAGCACGTGGTGGCCATTAAATATCAATCGTAAGATTGACCCTAAATCATACTTGTTCTCCTATGTCATCACATAAGCAGCGTATTTGCATTTTGTAAATTTTCGAGGCATTTTACAAAGAAAAACGTTTATTTCTTTGAAAAATGTCAATTACGCTGATTGTGCTCAACAATAAAACTGAAACGTAAATAAAATATAAAAAACCGCTTATAGAGGGTTTCGTTTCGCTGATTCCAGATATGTTAATAACTAAATTTTGATTAAGTTAGTTATGATAAAGTGGGCAGTATGATTTAAGATTTAAAAGAAGATGGTTTTTCTGCAAATAAATGCAGAGTTGAATTTTTTAAATGTATCAACCAAGTAATTTATTCCATTGATATTTTTCAATATTTTTATTTTACTATCCACAACTTCAGCGTGAATTCGCGAAGGCTATTAATATCAATCGCGAGCGTGCAAAAGCTATTAATCACAATTTTTGGTGGAAATAGACCGGCGAGATATCAATTCCCGTCTCGCATCATTTTACCTTGCCGGTGGAAAAAGCACTATTGGGCTTCGGTTCCACCAGAGATGTGCGAGGTAGCTAGGTGGTGCGAGGATGCGTAGCAAAGTTGTAAAACGGTGTGTAGCTGAGGCTGCAGTGCAAGTATGAGTAGCGGACTCTTTTCAGCTGTGTGCGGGTGGAGTGCTGTGTGGTGGGGTTAGCGGAGGTGACGGTCAGCTCGCTCGCGAACCTTGCACACATTCCTCACACATTTGTTGCTTTTTGTATGTACAAATTGAAATTGTTAGTTCCGCTAGCCCTTTACCACCAGAACTGCACTAAGCGAGGTTAGGAACATCAAGTAATCCTATTGGCGGATTTCTTCCTCGCATATCGCCTCGCTACCTCCCACACGCAGCCTTAGATAGGATTTTTACGGAAGAACTACGGTCGGACATCGGTAGCTCTTAATCTCCTTCTATAGACATGCATTACGTTTTATATTGTAAATGTGTTTTACTATACGTATCTCAGTTTATTGACCTTTCTACCGATACATTAATCTTTTAGTTAGTACTGGCTTAATTTGATATATTATAGTATACCTTAAAATAATTTTAATGAACATAAAAGCAGTTACGAAACGTGTATAGGTACTATCAAGTGCAGCGGCGCTTGCGTCAGATCTTTGTGCGTTCATAGGTGCAACCAGCGACCACTGATTGGTACGATGGTTAAACCGCTCGGCGGTGTTCTGACGATGGTGACCGTCGTAACCACCCATAGCGTAAATCGTCTCGCCTAGTACTGCTACGGATACATAGCAACGACGGGCGTTCATTGGTGCTACCTGGACAAATAAATCGTGAAAACTACTGAACAGAGAAAAAAGTGAACAGAAGCCGAACTTTATTTTGAGAAAGACAAATTTACTTATACTTTTGCTAGCACTAGAGCTCCTTGTGAAAGAGTTCGTCCAGGGTAGTACTGCCACCGGATCTATTTCTGCCGCCAAGCAGTAATGCTGCATTACTGTGTTTCAGTTTTGAAGGGTAAGGGTGCTGGTGAAATTACAGGCACATGGGACTTGTCAACTTATGTCTCAGGGTGACGGGCGCAGCGGTAGTGCCCCTCAGATCTTTGCAATTTTACGACTTGTTCGTCCCGCCACTTGATGTTATAATAAAAAATTAGAACAGTTGGAAATAATTAGAAACAACAACAGGGCGTTTATAATAAATTAACAATTGAATGTTGCGTTATTAAGGTTATTTAAGTATTCGAGTACTGTATCGTGAAATATTATTTAATCATTACACAATAACAGACTTGAATATTTCAATAATAAAAATTGCCACGGGAACTAGGTAGTGAACATTAGTTCGAGAATGATCGGTAAAATGAATGTAATAAAAATATTACAAGCTAACCTCGCGCCATGTTTTGCTAACGGCATCAAAACAACGACACGAATTAAAATAATCCATTCCATCAAAGCCACCGATGACGTAAATGCAGTAGCCCAGCACCGCCGTGCCGTGATATGCTCGGGGTCCTGCAGGGTCAACTTCCTCTACCTGTACATAGACATCAATTTAAGAACTTGTACAGTTTGGCGACTAGTGTAGTGTATGTCTGCACGTCGCCGACAAACTGTATAGGAATAACTTAATAAGAAGGGCAAGAAGAACCCTACTGCCCTTAAGTGTGTGTCTACAACCTTAAGTACCCTAAAGGCCCTAGCTCTATCCATATAAGTGTGACAAATAAATATATAAATAGTACAGGATATCTGCGCCGTGAGACCTAAGGCAATAGACGGACGGGGTAAGAAAAAAAGGGTGTACTAGGGTAGGTGTTTTGGCCACAGTGACAGAACGTTGGCAGGAGATATGACTCGACTGCTGTTGAAAGACTCGCTTTAATAATTAATTAATAGTTATTTATACACTTTTAGGTACATTTACACAGCCTAATTCTAAAATTGGCTCTAAAATCTAAATACCTCACCGCTGAAGCACTTTCTTGCAGCCTAGTTTTGGGTTGTTCGTTTTGCTGAGTAGAATGTTCAAAGGTCGTTTGAACAGGACTGATTTAATATTCTGTGTCAGGCATTGATTGCGATTCGCTTACACAAAATTGTAATAACTGTTATATGTATAAAGGTAAATCCACTAATGATAAGAACTTGAAGAAAACGGTGTGCAATTGCGTTAGGACTTGTGATAGGTCTGTGATAGGTGCCTGTGTGATAGGTCCAACCGCATCCTGCTTGTATTCTCAGACCGGTGGGATTCGCCATTCTTGTAGAAATGAATTGAGCTCTATACCGCAATCCTATCTTAAATATATAATATTTTGGCACTATACTTACAATAATATATTAATTACAAATAAAATTGAATTTGTGTTAGCACGAGTACGATCAAGCTACGAGTAGTCGAAACTTAATTTATTTTTGTATAAATGTTTGAAATAGATAGTCATGGAACGAGAGTCTGAAATTCACCTTTATCCAACGGTCAGCCCTGGTGTCATAAGTCTCAATGAATGCTGTAGGAGAACCACCGCTCCAGCCTCCAATTGCAAACAGGACCTGTTAAATACAGGAAAACATGATATAGCGAACAAGCCTCGTCTAGACGACTTAGTAAAATTTTAGATCTTACTTCGTGTGGAACTCGCGGACGAGCGATTTCTGGAGTAGCGACTTCACCGTCTCTCTGAGCAATCATTTCCAAGTCGTAAAGAAATTTTAGCGTTTCGATAATTATCGGACGGGAGCCTTCATTGCCGGTGACGTAAGGGTGGTCTTTTACATTCTCCAAGAAAAACTTGAAAAAAGAACGAAATAGGTATTGTTACATCAATTATTTACATTAAGTAGTACTTAATAAACAGTCGTCAGCACATATTAACATAAACGATCTTAGGTAAATAGATAGGTAGGTCAAGCATAAAATAAAATAATTTTACATATATATTTAAAAGCTGATGGTAGGTTTGTAACTAGCCACGAGCGTGGTTTTGCATTATGATGGTATTAGCATTCGCCTTTCCTTTACAATAAGTTTCGAAGATGTATACCGTCGGCTAAATTTCAAAACCGCGTAACTCCGTTTTTGGACAAAATCCCTTTATGTACTCTTCAAACGCAATATCGGGCAATTACGTAAAGCTTACAGGACAGGCTTTCTTTCTTATTCGAAATTTGCGCGCAAAAGCGTTTATGAAATTCGAACTTGACGATGTGGTGCATCTAACTTTTTCTTTCGATGAAAAAAAAAAACATAATACATGTTCAACTACGCGATTTGTCGTACATCATTTTTTTATGTAATATATTTATATTTTTTGGTATATTTTATTATTATTATTGTTGACATTAAATTGACAACGATAACTAATTTTGTTTATGAAAATTGATTTGTTATAGTTCAACTGTTTTTCTTTCATCTACCGTTTTCCTCGCTGTAGTGAGGTGAAAAGTTGTGTTTCGCTCGGCAGCAAAGTTGTTTTGCGTCTCGTGGCTTGAAACCCTCGCTACGTCCAGGATACTAAATTTGAACCACGAGCGAAACGAGTGTACTTCGCTTTAGTTAATAAAGAAAGGTATAACCATAATTTTCATATAATTATTTCTAGTAATTCTGATTTTTGTGCTTACTCAAATGTTCATTGGTGATTACGAGTTTTTTTATACGATGGGCTGTTGCGTTTTATAAATCAATTTTATTTGATTATTAAAATTTGCACTATCATACTTAACGAAAATTTAATTCATGTGATCTGAACAGTAATGCTAACCTGAGTATCGAGTAGACCAAGTCGTATACTGCCCATAAGTTTGACAGTGTGCTGCCAGCGATTGTCAGGGTCGTAATTCACCCAACGTAATACAGCCTCCCAAACTACTTCCTCGCTCTTTACATTTAATTCGTCTTCGAGAATAATAGAATTGAGCTCTTCGAGCGGTAAATGGAGAAATTCATCACTTTGTGTTGCCACAGTTACGAAATAGCGCAGTAAATACCTTCGGGCGTCGGCTTCTAGCTTATAACAGAATACACGCCTGAAATCAGATTAAACCAATGGCAAGCATAATGAAGTCAGTGACACTCTAAATCATAGGTTCCCAAAGTTTTCGGCTCACCGTCCACTTAGGCAAGATAAAAAATATTTCAACGCCCACTACCACAAAAAATAATTGAAAACACGTATTTTTTATATTAACTTACACAAAATATTACAAGAAAAAAATAATTATATGTATATAATGTGTAGTGCAGTTTATATAGACAATTCAAGTTTTTTCAAATGCGGTAGCACCTCCTGGATAGCATCAACGTCTCCCGGTTGCTACTGCCCCCCTGGGACTCTTCAGCGCCCAATGGGGGGGCGGTAGGTACCACTTTGGAAAACTATGCTCTAAATAATAAATAAATAAATATTAGACCACATTACATACGTTGCTTTGACCCAAAGTAAGTACCATAACAACGACGGCACCATAAACAACCAGACCCAAGCCAATATAGAAAAGTTAGTTTTTTAGTTTAACCCGACCGGGAATCGAGCCAGAGTTAGCGATCTATGAAAACCGGCGTGCAAGCCACTCAACCACGTATTGCAAAAAAAAATCGGATTGAAATAAGATGAACGAACTTTAGCGCATCTATAGATGATAGTGTAGGAGTACCACGGGACTGTTACGTGAGTGAAATAAATGAAATTTAGTTAGATGTAGAAAGTAAATCCACGTAGTACACAAAATTGTTAGAATAAAGTAAATCTGGTTTTACCTAGCAAACATCATGATACCAAGACAGTTTTTAGGGTTCAGTGAAACCCTAAGGTGGTCACAGCACAGCTGCAGCACGCCGAGAAAGGCCAGGTAGTCGGCCGTCATAAGCAGTTCGTGCACGTTGCCGTCAGTAACGTCGATCCGGCGCAGGTACGCGTACTCGATCAGGAGCAGCAAGATCTCGGAGCGAACGCCCGATATCAGGACGTCACTCTGCTCGCGAGAGTGCAACGTTGTTGTAAATAGTGCCCTAGACAATCACATCTGTATTCAATCGTTACATAATTCACCATATAAGGAAGAGCGGTTATACACAGCGAATTTTAGCAGCGATGCAAACGCGATGCAGTAACGATGCAGTCACGTGTGCAAAGGTAGACGAACCTTGTCACACGCTCGCGAAGCGCGCGCTGCTGAGAGTAGCCGTGTTTAAACATTTAAGACTAAAATTTCAAGATTGTTATCTACATCTATAATGAATTGTTCTATTGCGACTTTTCTAACGATATGGCATTAGGCAATACAGTCACCACTGTGGCCTTTAGGCTCAATTATAGGGTGTCTAGTTTGTACGTTACACAATTGACATAAAATTCATTATGCTATGGTTACAAAAACTCTCTTCCATTTCATTGCGCGGCGATGTAAATTAGGCTTTAGGGAATTATGGATATTTCGTGTTTGAAGAACTTTGCGACTTTCTTCGGCTTAAAAAAATTCCTCACAGAAATGTTTTTTGAAGTGGTATGTACAATATTTCTATTTGAGTTTGAAATTGAGAAATTAGAAGATGAATACTAACAGGAAGTATGGGCTGCAGGCAGAGAGTATGGCGCGGTGCACGGGGAATGCGGCGCCGTCGTCCGCGCGCACTATCGCGTCGCAGAGAAGCCGGCACTCGCGCAGCCGGTGCAGTGCCTGCATGGCTGCTACCGACATGCACCGCCCAGTCTCGCGACCCGCCGTCTAACCAACACACCTCATATCATTCACTCCTTACCAACTGCAATCTACTGCAAGCAGGTTCTGAAAAGGGAACTTACGTAGGTACCAACCTTAACATAGTATTTCACGTTTACCATACATTTTCAGGTACAGTCGGTTGGAAATCGAACCTGTACTTAGCTTCTAGTCTAGATAGATAGATATTAAATTGATAGGTAGGTAATATACTAATAAGCAGAGACGCGATGAGAAGCAAAATATTCTTTATCACATTGTGTCAAAGACCTAAAATGCGTATGTGGCAACAAAGAGTTTCGCTTTTCTTCCTTTTAAACTGCATCAGGCAAAATGTTATGGTAACTATAAATAGTGACTTTTATACAATGTAAGCTGAAGAAGTCTTAATGAAAGTTAGCGAATATTTAGGACACAGTTACTCATTGTATAGGGTTCTATGCAGTTACCTACTGCTAAGTCGATCATACCTTTTACTTTACATCTTTCTAGGAGTGAAGCCCTTTGACTTTCTGTCAACAAAATATCGTACCTTTGGGGTATAATAAAGCCACATGTGACCATATAAATATAATTCGAACTACATGAAACAAATTGTATAATACGTGAAATTTTACAACCTCCTATTTAAGCATAAACAAGTTATCGACTAATTTTGTTTGTACAATCTGTAAACTATCTGAAAAGTAGTCATTTTGCATATGTGTCCTTATTACACCAAGGTTGTGATTGTTGTTTCTGACGATAAGCCAAACAAATATTTTGTTTCTCGACAAAATAAAAATGAATTAGGATTCGTTATGGCATCTGAACATAAATAGCCAATGTTTCTTACTAATTAGCTTTTTGAAGTTGTCTTGTATTCTCGACAAAAATAGGAAGTAAAAATTATTGATTGAGTTTTGAAATGCTTCATTATATCTTTGCTATTAGGAAATTTAACGAACGTACGCGGACGTCTCATCGGATAAATTATTACCGATGCTATATAAACAAATCGCATGTCAACTTGTCCGTCACGTACCTATCAAAATGCACTGTGCGAGTTCATCGTTCGAGCCCAACACATGTCCCTAGGATTACACCCTTCCGTGGAAGCTGTACTTACAGTGTTATTCGGGTCGTTTTCCATTTCATACGACTTTAACGCAAAGTCATCATTATTAAATTGTCACACATTAAAAAAATCTTAAATGCAAGACGGACGTGTCACGACACAATCGAGATTTAGCTAAATAAATTTTATAAAAATAATCGTAAAAAATTACTCAAAATAGCAAAATCAAGTCATTTGATAAAACATTTTAGGTTAGCAAAAAAATTATATAAGAATGACAAGCATGTCAGACCTTTTTTTTCCAGATGACATTACTGGATAGCAAAATTTTCATTTTCGGCGGCTGCTTTGCTGAAATCGAAAGCGTTTGTTATAGTTTTTGAAAATCTAAAGGCCTTTGCAGTTTATTGTCAGTGTCAACAAAAAGGTCGAGGTTTGCACCGAAGTTTATGAATAAAACAAAACTTTATGTATTCATATTTTAATTAAAACAAAATTCAATGCCATCACGTGTGCTTTCTCATACATTTAGCAAAATTTTATCACCTTATAAAATACAACAATTGGATAAATTTACTAAGTTTTTATTAGAAATATAATTTATAATTAGTACATTATAATAAGTAATTTCGGCCCAAGCCAGTACAAAGTTTATTTTACTGTCGTAGTAACAGCGCTTTGACTATAGTCCTACAAGCTTATATTTATTGTTACTTAGTTGAGAGGCTTGGTGCTCTCCTTGGCAGTAATTCCTTCGGCCCTAAGCCTGGAGAGAAGTGATTTGTAGACTACCGGTGAGAAAGGTAGTACCACTCCCCGCTCTTGGATTTCACCTGCAAAAAATCGTCTTGTATTGAGGCAAACCGTGGTAGAGTGGTAGTGTGATTTGATCTATCTCCTCCAAGCAGAGGGTTATGAGTTTAAATGCGGGCACCTTTGTGATTTTTGGAATTTATGTGCGAAATTGAAATTGAAATTTACCATGAACTTTTCGGTGAAGGAAAACATCGTGAGGAAACATATGCAAAATAATTTAATGATGTGTGCGAAGTTCCCAATCCACATTGGGCCCACGTGGTTCCATTGTGAGAGGAGGCCTAGCAGTGGGATACAGGCTAGCTATTAAAATTTTATTTAAAAAAAACTAACTCTACTATTTCATCATTTAGCACATTAATGATCAAAGTTAGAATGTCGATTGTTTCCGTAGAATCTAGTGAAAATCGATTTTGTATTCCATAATTTTTAATCATTTCTTCATATTTTTTTCTAGAGTAACCTTTATATTTACCATTACCTCTATATTTCATTAGGTAGGAATGTACGAAAACTGCCTACGTAGCCGAACGGTTACCATGACTGCCACGCAAAGGTCCCAAGTTCGATTCCCGAGCCGGGAGAGATTTTGTATAGCCTACATTTTTACATTTCTCTCGTGAATTTGGGTGTAATTTGTGGTTGTGTATGTGTGTGTAGTGCGGGGTTATGTTGAGAGTGTGCGTTATTATTATTGCAATTATACTTGGAACGTTTGCATTTGTTTTACTCTACATAGGTAATCAATTATTCGCAGCACTAGTTATTTTACATGCAGTACTAGTCATTATCCGAATTCTGAATGAAGTCATTCGTCAGAGAACTAAAGTGACGGACATAGCTCGCAAAATCATTAAGTAACCTTTATATTTACCGTTGCTTCTATTTTTCTTTTTTTTACTTGAAACTTTTGCATTTGTTTTACTCTACATAGGTAATCAATTATTCGCAGCACTAGTTATTTTACATACAGCACTAGTAATTAATCGAATTCTTAATGAAGTCACATGTCAGAGAACGAAAGTGACCGACGTAGCTTTAAAAATCAGTAAGTTTAAGTGGCAGTGGGCCGGACATGTCTGTATGAAAGTGGAAGGCTGATCGAGCACACTTGTTCTAGGGTGACGATCACGTCAAGACAAACGTAGTGTAGGACGCAGTAAGATGGACGAACGACTTGAGAAAAGTGGATGCGGGCGGCATAGGACCGGGAGAGTTGGCGTGCCCAGGGGGAGGCCTGTGTCCAGCAGTGGACGCGTATAAGCTGGGCATGACTAGTAATTAGTAATAAAAGAGTGTCGTGGAGTTAAAGTGTAATTACCATCAAGAACCATTTTAGCGGCAATAGCAGTGGGAAGTCCCACAGTTCGAGCCATGGCGGTGTGTGTGGCTGGGTCACCTCGGACGGTCATTGTGATGTCTCTTCTCTCCTTTCTCCCATCGCTCCATGTCACTCCAACCTCGTGTCGTAGGACTACAAGATCTGTTTCTTCTTTACCTGCACGACATGGTTAATAATAACTGCTAGATAGTAAACTGAGGCTTTAATTTAGTTTACCTGAAAACCGGGTTTCGAGATCATTCATGTTATGTATTAAGTAGTAGTTATGGATTAAATTACTGAATTAGTGCAAACAGTAGCAGTAGAGCTTCTTGTGAAAGAGTTCGTCTAGGGAAGTACTGCTGCTCTACATATTTCTGCTGCCTAACAGTAATGTGAGCATTACTGTGTTCGAGTTTTGAAGGTTAAGGTTGTTGGCGAAACTACAGGCAGGTGCAATGCAGTGCCTCTCAGATCTTTGCGATTTAAAGTTCAGAGAGGCGCTGTAACTGACTTGAACAGGAGTGTCGCTTATCATTAAGCTCACAATGAGTTCGTGCTGCCACTTGGTATCATTAAAAAAAAAGTCGACTTACCGAGCACCAATTTCTTGCTAAGATAATGGCTGATGGTGTCCAAGGGCGTGTTCTTTTTAATTATGGGATCGTCACTGAGAAAACCGAGAGATTCAATTGCCTGTGCACCCGAGTTGCCAACACGCTCCGTTAGTCTTGTCTTCAAGTTTTCATAGAAGATTGACGGGTCCGTTAGACCGAGGAGTTCACAAGCAAATTGGCGCTAAAAACAACAGAATATATTATTATTGATACAAATATCAAACAAACATAAAAAAACATTCTATCCAAAGTGGACTCCAACCAGTGTCTGCTACGTGGCTACGTTGCGGTTATGATGGTTATTGTCTAGTCCAGAGGTCGACAACCTTTTATTTTGGAAGAGTAAAAAATTACAATTGACAAAATTTTACAGTTTTGAAAGAGCCACTAATATTTTTCTTCACAATATTATAGTACTTGCTTATATAAAGATATTTGATTTAGATTTAAAATAAAAAAAACTTGAAAATAACAAATAATATATACTTATTCATACATAGTATTTTTTTTCAACAAATCAAATTATATGACTAGAAAATTAAAATAATCAGATAATATAACTACACACACTTGGGGGTGAGACGCGAGTACAAGTGGCTGAGAGATAGACATGGTGCCTACTTACTCATACATTCATTGCACGATTTTTATAGGTTTTCTTAATAAAATAGTAATTATTTGCGTATAGAATTAAAGAACCACAACTTCACATCGAAAGAGCCGCATGCGGCTCGCGAGACGCTGGTTGCCGACCCCTGGTATAGTTGGATTGAATTTTGTATCGATAAATTGTTCGATTTCTGTATCGATTATACTAACAAACGGGTTATTAAAAAAGAGAATAGTAAAAACATTATGATTTTCAATAAAAACAAAATATAACAATTGCAACTCTACATGTATAATACATTTCTCTGCGTTATGGAACTAACTTACCCATGTAATTTCTGGTCCTTCAGGATGTAAAGATGGATGAGGATTGGGATCTACTAGTCCAAATAATTGCAATGCTTTCATGTTTTCCGCGAAACCTGTTCACAATAATAGCTGTGATAATTTTGTACTTAAATGTATTTATCTTGGTGCATACAAAAGAAATCGTAGCCTTAGTATAATAAAGCCATATAATAAGCTGAATAAATTTTAATTTCTGTATGGAAAATTTAGGACACAGTTACGGATTATAGAGGGTTAAGCTTATATGTGTCGGGTGGGCGTCAATGAATGTGGCTAACAGGACCGTGGTGGATATCACAAACTTCGGGAAGCTTATACCCAGCAGTGGGTGAAATCAGGCTGTGCGTGATGATGTTGAGGTTGTAGGTAGTTACTGCTAGTCCGAACAGTACTTTCCGTACTCGGTACTTTGCTTTTACTCTAGGGTATTTCTATTTTTTGTTTCAGATGACTGTTTTCATCTGTTTTCTAACATATATTAACTAAATATCTAAAGTGTGTTTCGTGTCAGTGAAGTCTAGTTATTTAAAAAAAAATGGATTTTGGAAATGGAAATTTAATGCATAATAATTTTTTTTTTTATTAATTTTCAAAATATAGAAAATCGCCCTTCCGTGTGTGTGACCACACCGTCTTAGCAAGGGAAAAAATTCGGTGTTTTATATGTCAGAAGACTTACGTGAAAAGAAATGTTAATGTTTGTAAGTGGGTCAATGGTTAATGGTAACTGAAATACATTTACTAATTATAAACAGAAACATTATATTTAAATCGAATAGGTAATTCCTCAATTGGTCTAATCAGATATGTAGTAATTTTTTTGTCCCATTCATGCGGCTTATTCCCAGTTGTCACCACATTAGATAAATAAACTTAATAATTTTGCATTTCTCTAACTGATGTTTTATATTTACTTTATTTTAACTGTTGTTTTATATTTACTCTATGCGTGTGTGTATTTGTTTCTGTGTATTTGTTTTATATTTGCTAATTGTAATTGATGTTGTAAATGATGTGATTATTAATTATTGTACGGTATTGGAAATATCTGATGTTTAATACTGATTTTTTTTATAAGATCTTTACTTTTATCATTAAACTCGAATTTTATTTTATTCCCTTGCGATGGCCGCAATAAACAAACATTAATTTGGACTTTTTTTTGTTTCTTTTAACACTGGCAACTCTGGCACATTTTAAATTCCATTTGTCGCCAGTGGAAATCACCACTGGCAAAAACTGCGATTTTTTTATTCCGTTTGTCACCACCTGGTAACAAATGGGATTTTTTTCCCATTTGTCGCCCGTGGTAACAAAGCCTATGGTGACAACTGGGATTAAGCCATCCATATGTATATCACACAGCCATAATTATTTAAATATCATGCTTGTATCTGAATGTAACTAGAACGAAAAAAGATACAGTCGGCATCTTTTGATTCAGATGTCAGCTTCGGCTGGCGGTGCCAACATCTACGAGTAATTACGTTTTGATCTTTGATTTTTCAAAACTCGCCGAGCATAAGTAGCCACAATTGTGTTGCTTGTTAAATGTATATTTTTTTTATTAATGCACTTCAATTTTGTGGCTTTTCTATCAAAAACAGAAGGTTAGCCTGCCTTCATTTACATGTTCATTCCTGGTTTTGTTAAGTTTTTGAGATTTTCATGGAAAAATGTATTAGCCGTGGAGGTCACTTCTATGGATCCGTGGATAACAACATTTCCATGGAAGTGACTTTGAGTGATAATTGTATGGGATGCGGGTATGTAAGATAGCGTTGTGTTTTTATTTGCGCATACACATGCATTGTTTTTTGTGCACATTTCTTTTAGACGGTGAAGACCTTTTGGTCTTCAAATTTGGTGTCCAAAAACAGCAGAAGAGATGAGTAGATATGAGAAGACATCACTTTTTTTCAACCCCTATAATCGGCGAGTATTTTAAATAACAAGACCAAAAGTAATCAAATCTGTCATCAAAAATATTTAAAAGAAGTTTTCACTTTTTTTATTTTTTATCGATCAGAAGTAAAACTTTACCCTTTACATCTTTCAACTGTAAACGAAATATCATGCCCTTTTGTGCAATAAAGTCACATGTAATCATAGGTGAAAAGTGCTTTTATCTCACGAAAGTCATAAAAATAAACGAACTTCATGAAACAAGTTATGTATATGTTAAATTTTGGATTTCTCGAACTCTGTCGAAAAAAGTTACTGACTAATTTCGTTCATACAATCTTTAAACCACTCTCCTGAAAAGTTGTTATTTTGTAGATGGGGCTTTGTGACAACCAAGGGTGCGAAATGACCTCTTACCTTTGTATCGCATAGTGCCTCGGAACATTGTGTGAGCGTCTTGAATGCCGTAGAGTTGGGCGTACTTAGTACTATCTCTGTTAGGAAATCCTTCGAATGCAAAACCTGGTAAGAAGTCAAGTTCACGAGCTACTGACATCAATTCACCACCGCTGAGCACTTCCACTATCTGAAAAATAAATTGTTGATTTTTTTGAACATCGATCGAGTTAGTAGACCTTATGAATTTCTCTATTATGTGTTTGTTAAAGCGGTTACGTGTCTGCAGCGATTCAGCCGCGATGCAGTTACCAATCGTCTACCTTTAGGTACACCATGGAGTATATAACCAGAAATAGAGACGAAGTAAGGGCTATACATTTCTGGTAACTCATCAGTGATACATCACTTCAACTCTCGTAAATATCAATTCTCGTTTGCACTGAAATAAAGACAGGTCAACAACTGACCTGTGTGTACGTCACCGTATATTTTCGAAAATATTCTGTATTTATTGTAATAAAGACAATATCTCTAACAATGGCGTTCGGTGGTGAGGGGAAAATAGCAAAATATCTAATTACAAAACAAACGGAATCACATTTCATCGGTAATTAAATATTAAATACCTATGTAATTTATCAATTTTCATCCATTATAACAAAGCTCAAGTTAAACTGGTCGATTTGAAGTGAAACAATTGACGACACCCGTCAATTGTTTCGAATTCCGGCTGGCCAATCGGAGCGCAGTTGTCATAGTAGTGATTTGGAAGAATAGTTTTCAATCAAATTAAAATTTCGTCTCTATTTCTGATTATATACTCGATGAGGTACACACATGCGCGACTTTAAGCAGCGATGCAAACGCAGTAAAAATGCGATGCAAGCCCGATGCAAACACGATGCAAACGCGTTGCGCGTTTTTAATGAATGAATGAATTAAATTATTTATTTCACTTTTAAATTTACAATTAACAAAACAATGTGCATAAACCAGAACAGATTTTTCGCACATAATGATTCACCATAAGCGCTTGAATCGATGTAGTTGCGCGTTTGCATCGATGCAATCGCCTATAATAAATCGCAAGGATAGCGATGCAATCGCACGTTTCACAAACGCGCGTATACATTGCTGCTAAAAGTCACCGTGTGTAATCGCTCTTACAGATCTTTTGTTCGCGCATACAGACGCAGGTGTGAGTCCTGTCAGAACGAAGGAATTGTTCTTTGTGTTCGATCTTAGTATTAATAATTAATTGAAAATGTATTCTTTTTAATCTTTCAACGAGGAAATATACTTTTTTTATAATATCAAGTGACAGGACTTCCAGAGAACTATGCCAATTGCCTGATTTCATTCTAGGGAATTACCTTTAGTATAAGTGCTAGAGCAACGGAATTCACTCCGGGGCATTAATCGGATTACCCAGACCAGATTCATTTAGAAAAGTTCATTTCCCAATTTGGTTCTACCGGGAATCGAAGCCACCCGGTTTCCCCATCATCCAGCGCTCACAGTATCCCGTTGAGCCACTGAAGTCGTGCAAATCGAAAGAATGAGTACTTGTTCTACGAACCTGTCCTCTGCTGAGATATTTGGCTCCAGAAATAGTGTTAAGCAATACTCCTCGAGGACTCCAAGAAAATTTGTATCGTAGAGCGTTGTCACTATATTCAGGTGCGGGCAGTCCTTAAAATATTCCATAATATTTTTATTTCTTACAAATATAATGAAAAATTGAAGCGAATTGTTAAAATTCTCAAGCTTTACCTCCACAGTAGGAAACAAATGAATCGACTCTACCACCACGGTTTTGAATGTCGTGAATACATTCCAGTGCCAATAAATGGTCAATTCCAGGATCCAATCCGACTTCATTCAATAAAGTTAAACCTGCATCCTTCGCTCTGGAAAGAACACATACTTTTTAATAAACTTCTGAACCTTGGTAGCAGTAGAGCTCCCTGTCAAAGAGTTTATCTAGGGAAGTACTGCCATTTTAACTATTTCTGCCGCGAAGCTGTGAGCATTATTGCGTTCTGGTGCTGTTGAAATTACAGGCACACTTGTTAACTTATGTCTCAGGGTGACGGGCGCTGTGGCAGTGCCTCTCGATCAGACCGTGGCGATTTAGGGCGCGTTCAAATTAGCCGCTGTTAGCCGCGCTGCAGCAGCGCTGCAGCCGTCGCGCAACGGCCGAGCGATTGTCACCTTTCATACAAATTCTAGAAGCGCTGCAACGCTCGGTTGCATCACGGTTAGTGAGGTGTACATGTTAATTTTTCAAATTAATTACGATGAACGAAAATCGAGTTGAAGAATTTATAGAGAATGCTGAACACCACCTTGCAATATGGGATATCAGTTCCGCCAGTTATTCTAATCGACTGGAAAAAAAGGCATGGGAAAATTTATGTCTAAAATTTATTGACAATTTTGAAACTAAAACTACAAATGAAAAAAACATAGCAGGTTGTGAGTAATTTTTAATATCTATACGTGAAGTGTGTGCTCCAAGAACTCTGACCCTCTTAACTATATACCTTTTGGTTCTGAATACAAGTGTGAAGAATAGTGTTAAACAAACGTAAAAATCCCATAAAAACCCGTAAACAAGGCGAAAACTATTTACAAATATTTTTCGTAAATCGAGTTTTGTAACTATTTAATGGTAGTATTCATTTTGATTATTTTGACAAAATAAAGGTAACGAACGGATTCTGAAGGTGCCTACGACATTGTCAATCAACAACGAGAATTATAGACGTTTCGAGTTGTTTGGGAGTGCTCATTGAGAATGTGGCATTAATTTCTAAATCCAAGATGGTTGCCAAGAATTTTCAAAAATTTATCTTTGTTAATCCTTATGGAAATGGCATTTGTATCTGAATACATGATGGCTGATAAAACTTTTCGCATTTCTAAAAGCAAGATGGCGGGCACGATTTCTCAAATAATGGCAAGTTGGGTATCGTTTTCGACATATTTAAAGAAATTCGTAATGAGCAACGAATTTCTTACTTGTAAATCCAAGATGGCATACTAGATTTATCAAAAAATGCAATATTGGGTTTTCGAGATATTAGGAGATGCTCATTACGAATATGGCACTCATTTCTAAATCCAAGATGGTGGGCACCATTTTTCGAATAATGGCAGTATCGGTTTCGAGGTATTTGGGGGTGCTGAAGAAAATATAATTTTGACAAATAAGTGAAAGTAACGTTTCTTCGTCAAAATCCATCATGTAAGTGAGTCGAAAGATAAAACATCACTAAAAATTTTGTCGCACTTTAGCAGCGCGGCAGTCGCACGGCCGCCGCGCGGTTGCAGCCCGACCGCCGCGCGGTTGCAGCGCTGCTGCAGCGCGGCTAACAGCGGCTAATTTGAACGCGCCCTTAAAGCTAGAGTGTCATAAAAAATAAATCTTTGTGCATATAAGCTGCTGATAATAAATTAATCTTTTACTCACGCCTTGTGAAGTTCTTGTACTTCAGAAGAAACATAAGAGGCTGTAACCATGTGGACCCCAGCGCCAAGGCAAACTCTGGCCACTCTACCATGAAGATCGTAGGGCAGTAGGGAAATCACGATTCGTGCATTCGACACCAACTTGCGAAGAGCGAATTCATCGTTTGCTTCAAGATACTCTGAAGTCACTCCATAACATTCGGCTAGTTTATCTGATTCTTCTTTTATTTGTGATGCTGAAGAAATCATATAATTAAAGTATTAATAGTACATTATTGCAGAGGTCGGGAAGTAAGGGATTGTTGGACGAGTATGAGTTACAAGGACGAGCGCCAGCGAGGCCAAGGCCTAATGCAAATATTAATGCGAGTCAAGCAATCCCCGTTCCCGCCGAGTCCCGTATAGAAGTTTTCTCAAACAATGCGAGAAAATAATGAAAGACTCAAGAGAGGAAGATGTATAATAGAAAAAGTAAAAAAAAAATATTAATCAACATTAAAATTTATGCAATACAATTGCTAAAAGAAAATAATATTGTTTTTCCAGGCTCATTAATAGTATAGTCAGCTGAATTTCGAATGATGTGTTTGAATATCTATTACTGTATTTTCGTTATTACTCTTATCACTAGCGCTCATTTTCGCGACCAAAATACAAAAAAGACGACAAAACTAAAGAATACCAAAACACTTTAGATTAAATGTTTCCGCCATTTTTTTTTAACTAAGCGGTACAGGCAGGTACTTGGAGCGCACTAGGTATAAGTTTCCGGAATGAATAAGAAAAAAATACTACAAATGGTCAGAAATGAATTTATTGTTTCTCAAAATATTTTCCGTTAGTGTTAATGCACTCTTTCATACGAATGAACCAATTTTGAAAACATTTATGCCACTCGTCGGTGACAATTTCTGAAACATATTTTTTATACTCTTGGACAGCCTCTTCAGGTGATGAAAATAGTTGACCGCGTAACTGGTTCTTAATTTTTGGAAATAAATAAAAGTCACAAGGTGCCAGGTCGGGACTGTACTGTACGCGGGATGGCTCATAAGATCAACGTTGTTCACCTTCAAAAATTCATTTGTCTGTCTGGCCGTGTGAAAACTGGCATTATCGTGGTGCAAGATGATACGGCATATTTATAATTTATTACATTATTATTTAATATTTGATACGACACGGAGAAATCAATTTGAATAAACTTCGTTACATAATCTATTGATAAAAATCGGAACTAAAAAGCACGTTCGCTTCTCTTTAACGAAAAAACAGCGTTCATGAAGTATTGCATTTTTGTCTGTGGTTGCCTATCAGTAAATAAAGAACTTCATAGGTATCCTTTTTTTATTAATAATTTTGGCTTGGATACAAGTCCTTTGAGCCATGTCTTCGTTTAATTATGTTTCTGTAAATATGGCCGCCGCAAAGAGGATAGGTAATTTGAGGCGGCGTGCTTGGATTGACTTGGGATTCTTTAAAACGGGCCGATACGGGTATTTTAGTTCGAGATTCGTATAATTTTGCGTTTTAATCTTCGATTAAGGCACAATAGCACTATCCTATTCCATTTTAAACTAGATTTCACAAAATAATTGAAAGTCGAAATAAAAACGACAGTTTTCCCTCCAAAAGGTCCAGAGCGAATCCATAGGCATCCTTTTGTCAAATGTTCGAATATTTTCAAATATTTTGTACGTAATCGATAAATTAAATCAATGTGATCATTATGAAGAAAATGTGTTAAAATAGAAAATTAGTCATTAATGTAAAAAATAGACGTATAAATGGAATGTAATTTCATCCTTGGTCAGACTGGATTTAGCATAGATTTTTTTGCAATTTGTATGTTGCAAGAATGGTGAATTCGATAATACACATGAAAAAACATTGATTTGAAAGTAGTGTTTATTGTGCGACATTTGTTTTGCTCTTGTACCTTGCCAGCGGGGATTGCCTATCAATGACGCCTCCAGTCCTATATACTCTAAGCTATCAGTAGGTAGATTTAAAAGTTTAGAGAAGAGGACAGTAATGGATTTTCTACTTACTCTGCAGGCCTTGGCCAGGAAGAAGTTGCATGGTCCATAAATAAGAAACTTTCTGTGTTCGTTTTTTGAAAGTAATGCAAACATTTCCGAGCATGTTTGAGAAAAATTAATTTCCTATAGATTCGCTATTTCATACATATACATACAGCATATAATAATATTTATAAGACTATATACAGAACGTCTCACGGCTATGGGACACAGAGGGAAAGCACTTTAAATATTGTAGATGGGGTTATTTAGTTTAATGAAAAAATTTTTTTAACTTGTAAAAACTTAGGAAATGAAACTATTTTTCCGGATTTAAATCGCGTATATTTGTTTTTTCAAACAAACCGACGTTTCGGGCCCTTTACAGGTCCCATGGTCACGGTTGACTGAGGTGGTACAGTCTTCAACCAGTTATGTCTAATATTAATGCAAACCACCCTATTTTTTCACTATAGTTACAATATTAATTAAATACCCAATTTTTAATTTTACAAAGAAAACATTCCAATTTACGCTACATTAAGTTTTACAAATTATTTGATTGAATGAATTTTTATTAAATAGATTTTAAGACTTTCGTGGTTATTCACTAAATGATTATCACTAGTAACAGGTTTCTTACCACGGTATATGTCAACCCGTGACCATGGAGCGTGCAACCGTTCCGAAATATCGGGAAAATAAAAAGAAGTTATACCGTGGTAAGAAACCTGTTACTAGTGATAATGAATTTTTATTAAGTTTAATTTATTATTAATTATTAATAGAAATTAGAATAAACTAAAACATATTAATTAGTACTGCAGTCTTATGTCTGTTTGGGATTTTTCATTAGAGGAAATACTGGATCCCAAACTGGTGCACGGAGAAACCATCTTCCCTGTTGAAATTAATTTCAATGGCCTCTTGTAAAAACGTGTTAGTCTGATCTGGGAATCGATACCAAATGTGAAAAAAAAACACACCTGTATTTTTATGTTGCCGATTGGAAAGACCAAGTGACAAGGAATCTTAAATTAAAGGTACACCGTTCATTTATAAAAGAAACAGGAGTTACTAAACGGCCACCGCAAAGATATAAAGATTTCCCGCGAAAAAATGTCACAAAATTAAAGTCTTGAAGAAAAATTACAGCCTAAGATCTGGCAGTATAGCCAATTAGACGCCATAGCCTGTCCCGTAAGACGAAAAATTTTACTTACAAATATAGAAACAGGTCGAAAACTTCCAATTTATCTGTGGTGCTTTGGAACCAAACTTTCTAAATGTGATCTTTTGTTCTGTCCCTCCGTGTCAAATAGCCGCGGTGTGCATGAAAGGGCCTACCCCCACCACGTATCATTCCTGTCGTGTACGTCTGGCGCACTCCAAGCAACAATCGGCGAGTACCTTACGCCGATTGGCAAATCCTTTCACCACGATAACAAGCATTATAGAGCATGCCATCGATACGATAAGAAGAAGCCGTGTGACGCTATGTATATATATGTAGAATATAATTGAGTATTTACCTACAACAACAGCAACAGTTTTGTCTCTAGCCAAATATTCTACGACTGGAGGTGCGACAAGACCACTGCCCAAAATGAGTACTTGAGTAAGCTGGTTATTGCCTTCCACCTTGTGTCGAGAACGCCTGCATTATAACATTACAACAATCAATAAATATGCAGAAAAGTTGAGATAGATATATAAATGTTATAGTCATAGTACAATAATATAAATAGGGTAACTAACGACTGTTCCAATACACCAGCCCACATTTCGCTTGGAGAGAAGGGTTTGTCACATTATTATTTTAGTTATACCTATAGGTTACAACATAATTTGAGAAAAATAAGGTGGTTATCACAGTATTCTCGTGCTATATTGGAATTGATATTTGTATACCGGCATCGCGGATCGGTATCTTGATTATGGAGTATATGGTTATGAAATTGAAATGAAATGCTGAAGAATTCTGAATTTGAAGCACTCTAGTTCAAAGTATCATAAACACAACAATAAACACGTCTATTGTTTGATGTCTTTTTTAAACTACGAGCGATCGCTTTAATTCTTAATTTTAATGGATGGCGTGTGTCCGTTCACGGCGCCGCTACGTTTGTATGGTATGGTTCTTGTACTTACGTATTTGACATCCTTAGTTCGTTGATATATTCAAAAGGCGGTGTTAACTTTCCGTTACTAGCGATGATTGCCTGAAAACAAATAACAGATAAGTTTGTTCGATTTGTTTTTATAGTGTGAAATTATACAGCGGTCACTCGCAATAACTGATAAGCTTCGATAATTACTGTAATCAAAGATGTCAAAGTGCTGACAATTAAATAGAATGGCGGGTAATAAGGTACTACATAAAATGTGCAACATGGATTGGGTTAGCAAATAAGTACTTACAACTTTTTTATAAAAAAAATGGACCTCAAAAGGGTCGTTTCCTTGTGCACCCACTGGGTTCCTACTGGTAGGAGCACGAGGACTAATATGTACTTATGCTCCTATCATGACGTCCTATCTAATAAGTACTAGCACTTTTTATTCTGAACTAAATAAAAAGATATCAAAATAAAATATTCAAAAATATTTTTATTTCATAGGTAAGTGCTCCTACCAGTAGGAGCATGAGGAAATGGTCCTCAAAAGTTTGCTTATCTGCCTTCGTTGTGTTTGTTACATCTATTTGCCAAGTTTTATTGGAATCGGTTAACGGAAAGTGAGTGAAATCCAACAAACCGTATTCAACCTATAATTTTCCACACTTAGAGGTGGAACATTTTATTCAAATTTGAACAGAATCACTAATGAGATACTCCTTTCAAATAAAAAAGAATCATCGAAATCGGCACGTAACTTACACACACAAAAGATACAGCCGGATTGAGAATCTCCTCCTATTTCAATTCGGTTAAATAAATAATCCTGTCCTAATTATTTATTAATATAATTCAATATTAATCCCTCTTTCATAAACATTATTGTCTTTACTTAACAAATACAGCTCTTGGTTTTTCGTTTATGAAAGTCGTGTCAATTCCAGGATGGGAAAAAAGTCTATACAAAGAATTTTGTAATGGCCACAACAAGTGAAGATCTAAAGAGACTACAGCTATGGAACGAATATGGTGGATGAGGTAACCCAACCCAACCTAACTGAAATAGTTTTTTACGACTTTGTAAAAATATGTGTGTTTTGGCATAATCATGATGAAATACATCTTTACGATTCACCGATCTGGGCGTTTTTCATGAATTATAAACATAAAACTTTCCCGCCTAAATACAACATTTTAAAAGGAACAAGTTCTTGCTTTGTTCAAAGTTAGCTAGTGGCGTAAACAGCACAGACTTTTTAGACAATCCATTATGCAATGTATATAACAACACAATAACACTTACCCCTTGTATAACTGGCGAAAAATTATGTTCTTCTAAAGGTTTTGTCGCGTCAGAATTCATAATATCTTCAGCGTAAGGGAAAAGTAGGTCTCCAAAGAAATCTGTTGATTCCCTCGGAAGTTGCGTAGGCATATTATCTATAGAACATACTAGAACACCTGGTCCTTTAAAGCTACAAGAGAAAGGATTGAACAAGAAATGAAAATAAGGGAAGACACTTATTTAAGAAGTAAAGACGGCGGTAGAAAGTACAGACAAAATCAGGATGATAGAAAGATACAGTGGCCATTTAGTGACGATCAAGTATTTACTTAAAAAAATGTAGCTAACTAACCTATTGCGGTCCTTGTTTCTGTCAGCATCGTAAAGGCAGAAGGGTGAATCGATCGTAGTACATTCGTTCATGAACTCGATGGAACCGCCAGGATCCGCAGAAATGTCACAAATCGCCAACATTCTGATAGAGTAAAAGTAAGTTAGAACTGAAAGGAGTGATTATCCAAAGGATCTAGTGACGTAGTTTATATTTGAAAAAAAGTATTAAATATATTATAAGTAATACATAAAACATCGTTTAAAACCCTATACAAAAATTTGCAACAAGCACATTAGAGAAGTTCTTAAGATTTGCTGTCTCAGTCTGTAGTTCAGTTGGCAAGAGCAGTGGCCTCGATGTGGCAACTGACGCTGATTGAGTCCAGTCAAATCGAAGGAATTTTTGTTTGCGTTGTTCGATCTTTGTATCCATGATAATAATAAACTAGTGGAGTATTTTCACAAAAAACAAAATGAAAAGTATGATAGTAAAAACAAACATAATCATAAAACATATTCATTCCAATTACCTGTGGGGTAAGGCTGGTGCACCAATACTCGTGGGAAGCCATGGCGTATTAGAAGGTAAGAGCAAATGCTTGGCATCGGGAATCGTCAATAGTTTCGGACTGCCGACAGCCCAGTAAATGCAGTTCACGAGAACTGAGGTATATGGTGCAATCTGATTGGCAGAAAAATCAAATTCAAATAAATAACATTACCTAATCTCTGATATTCCAAAAAAAATAAGTTTATCAATTTCAGAACCTTTTGTGCAAAAGTGGAGATATATCTTTCCGGGAATTCTTCGTATTCTTGGTGGTCGTATCCACCTCCGTTCTTTCGTTCTAAGTGATGTCTTCGCCGAACTTCGCAACCGTATATTTTATTGGGACCTGTGGTGGATGTTAAATTTATTAGTAAATGAGCATCATATTGTAATTTTGCTTTTGTTTACAAAAACGTACTTCCATGTTCAGCAACTTTTCTCAACATTTCAGGTGGGACATATTCATGAGGTAGTTCATGGAAGATTTCTTGACTGCCCTGAAAAATTAATTATAAAACTGAAAACATTCATCGTTTCTTGGATGCCGTAATTTGTTATTAAACTATGACGTTTCATTCATTTATACAAACAAAAATGAAGATCTTTGGTCTCAATCTGCATTATCAGAAACGAAATGGGTATTTCATTACCTGTGACACATTACCAGATCCAGTGAAAACGAAAGTGAGAGGACCAAGGGACTTAGGCATCATTCCAAGGGCGACTTCATAACCAGCATCACGAATCGACTGTCTGGCCATGCTAGAATTACGATAGTTGTGAGCTGGGCCTATGTGCTGAAAAGAACATAGATTTAGCACCTAACTAAGAGTTGATTCAGAATTAATTAAATTTTTGTTTCCTCACATATACTCGTATCATCGTATTACACCATACATCTCAAAACCCTTTCAAAACCAAATACCTGAGAATGTTCTCAAAAATGACTAGCTTCTAAAAGTGTTATTTGGAAAATGAACAGAGAGGAGTCCAGATATTTCTGCTTACTACAATCCTGGCGTATTTACTCCTTTGTCCAAGTGGAAATTCATAAACTTAGCCTACTGAGGAAAAAGCGTGGCGGTATTTGTATATGTAATATGTATTTTACCATGAACGGCGTGTGGTGACCAAGCGCCAGGAGTCGGAGACCAATGCCATGCAGGATGTTTACCATGCCAGCAACTCCAGCGTATTTGCCGAAGGCTACCACTCGGTTGCCACTATCATCCATTAGTTTTTCATAATCTATCAGTCGAATGTTCTGGAATTTAATTTTTTATTTTGTTTGTAAAAAAATATGCTAATGGAATTTTAAGGACAATGACTTTAGTTATATGTGCTCACCTTGGCTAATATAGCATCAAGCATCGGCATGTTAGCCTCCTGTGCTTTAATAGTGTGCGAGAAGAAGCAGTAGGTTTTGTTAGGAATCAAAAGATCTATGGGCGTTTGCTTTACGCCAAAGATCACATTGGCTTCGCTAATGTCTTCTTGAACCACTGCACCCGCGCTCAAATATGTCTGAAAGTTAATTGTAGAGCTATAAAAGAATTATTCAAAACACCTTAATGACTGGCTAAAATTAGTATTCTGTCGTTGTTGTTGTGATTAATATCATGTTAATATAATAGGTATTTGTTTTATTTATTTTTTAATTGTTGAAAACAATAATTTAAAATAATTTTGTACTTGTAATGTTATTTTTAATTTAATCATTTCAATTGTTGGTATTTGAAACTATGTGTACAAAAAGGTCCAATTGTTTTCTTAATTGTTTGCAATTTGTGCTGAAAGTATGAAGACCTGGAAGTCTAATTGAAATAGCTTAAATCAATTTATAAAGTAAGATAAGCTTTACCTGCATTGGGTAAGCTCTTCGGTTGGACGGCTGTACAATGACCTTGACTCCGTTTCTGACTAGTCGGTTTACATTGGCCGGCGCAAAAGGTGCTCGGCGCTCCCATACTGACTGGTCCTCACGTCTGATTGCTATTGTTCGTCGAGTCTGAAAAATAAAAGAAGAATGAAAAATACTGAAAAAGTATGTAAGCAGAGGACAATTTAGAATAACGCCGTGAAGTTGTTCAGTATTGCACGATTTAATTACGTCTTATTTTCCATCATCACGGGACTAGACGCAGGCTGGGGTGGACCTCTAAGTTGTGGATATATTAAGGATTCGCACAAAGTATTTCACTTCCACATTTGTATGGCGAACGGCTAAGGAGTGGAATTCTCTGTGCTGACTTATTGTCCGAATGCTATAACTTGAGACTTTTCAAGGCTAGAGTGAAAAAAAAAACGATGTAGCATGTAGACTTAAGTGAGGTATAACTTAAGTGTACATGCTACATCGTCGACATCATCGTCACTTTCCATCAAGTGAGATGGAGAGCAAATGCGCACTTATTTTTTATAAAAAATTGTTTCATGTGAAACATGAGAAGAAAACTTTTTTAAACCACTCTACTATTAAATAGTTATAAGTATTATAATATCTATAGTAGTAACTATGATGTAGGTTGCAATTATTATTTTTTAGAATTTTCGACATATTTAGTAGCATTAATCCCGTAAAAACACTACCGTTAAAAAGGGCCAACTCCTCTTGGATAATTCTCGGTTAATAAACTTAATATTCCATTAATATACCATATGCCATCAACGTCTTTCTTCGTTTGTTTATATTTTGATGCGCAGCGTAGAGGCGATGACAATCTGGAGAACCTTATTGTAGTTGGTAATACGGAAGGAAGGCGAGTACGAGGCCATGCACCAACGAGATGGATCGACCGAGTGAAAGACTCATCGTCCTCCAAATTTTGCGCAGTCATTAGGGACGCGTTGGATAAACGCAGATGGAGACAGATCACCCGCTTCAGAAGTAGGCATGAAGCTGTTCCAGATCCTCAGACATGATATGATATAAATTATCCTAAGGACCAGTGTATCAAAATGTACATAATATGTGAAGTCGTTCAAACACAGACAATACTATTCCTATGATCAAGTAAATGCCCAGTATACAATATAATGAACATAACGCATTCACAATTAGAGCTATATATTCTGTATATATGATCGTAGGGTTATCTAGAAAAATATGATTTTTGTACTTGGTTGAGCCTAAAGCATGAATTATATTTAGTACATTTTACTGTACGATTTTCCCGTTATAGTTTGCTGAGTTTTAAGAGGTTAAATTCCAACTCTGTAATTATATTTTAAGGTTAGGTTATATATATAGGAAGAGCGGGTCTCCTAGTATAAGTATTTATTTACTTAAAAGGAATTTCGAACCCAGAATTGTAAGCTATAGGTAAGTTAAAGTAAATAAACATTTTAATTTTAAGTTCTTTTTTAAAACATGTGTTACAGTCAACGATGAACAATTCTGACCAGGGAAAGTCAAAGAATTGATGCATTCGAAACGTACCAATGCATCAATCCTGTCTCAGCTTCAAATTAAAACTCTGTTGTCCACCATATGCCATCAACGTTTTTCTTCGTTCGTTTATATTTTGATGCGCAGCGTAGAGGCGATGACAATCTGGAGAACCTTATTGTAGTTGGTAACACGGAAGGAAGGCGAGTACGAGGCCATGCACCAACGAGATGGATCGACCGAGTGAAAGACTCATCGTCCTCAAAATTTTGCGCAGTCATTAGGGACGCGTTGGATAAACGCAGATGGAGACTGATCACCCGCTTCAGAAGTAGGCATGAAGCTGTTCCCGATCCTCAGACATGATAAAACGACTAGAGAGAATTTACTGTCACATCAGCTTTTCCAGGTAAAAATCATCTGTATTTGTGAGCTTTTTAGTTAATTATCACACACACGTATATCATGAACACTTGTTCGTTCACGTGATTATCATGCAGTGCGTAGTCAGTTATGATTGATACATAAATCAGTTTAAATTCATTAATTAAATTAATCCTCATAGAAATAAGATCATAATACACGTTATAATTATTGAACTATGATATATAAATAGACGGCATAATGTACTTTGTGATTTCTTGACACACCCTACTGATAAGAGGGTGTCAACACGTTTAGGCGATAAATAAAGGTATTGCAAAGATATAACATCGGCTCGTTTTTTGCCTTCCGATTAACGTCTCCGGCAACGAAGTACTTATCTCAAGGTTAGCAATATATGAACTGAATAAATTCGGGTCACCACCGCGTATTTTTCAAGAAAGATGAACAAGCTTAGTCATAATTCAAAATTTTAGTATTATTAAATTAGTTTTAAAATTTTTGCTTCATTGTTTTTGCAAATTGTTTTTACATCTTAGTTCATTAATTTACATATTAATTAGAAAATTGTTTTTTTCAATAGCTTAGTACTATTTTGGAGAATTAAACATTTATATACATATATATTATATTATATAATTAAACATATATATTATTTATTTTCGATTGTACAAATTTAACTGCCTCTGTAGCTGAGCGGCTACAGTGCTGATCTGCCACGCAGAAGTCTCAGGTTCGATTCCCGGGCCGGTAGAAATATTTGTATGGCCTATATTTATTTCTCTCGTGAGGTTGGGTGTAATTTGTGGTTGTCTAAGGGTCGTATTCTAGAACTCTACTCATTGCTCAAGTCAGGATTTGAGCTGACTTGAGTATGATTTCAATACGATCCTAATGGCAAGGACTTGAGTATGATTTTCAGTGCTCACTGCAATACTCAAGTCCTGACTTGAGTATTGAGTAGAGTTCTGGAATACGACCCTTTGTGTCTGTTCATGGCACCCGCGATAAAGGGTTTCCCTAGCGCGTGGCTATGAGCAATTGGTAAAAAAAAATATCGCTGTTTTTATAACGCATTATTCAATTAGGTACTAATATTATCATAGATTTAGTATATAGGTACCCAATTTTATACACATTATCTTTACTATTTATGATCTTAATCCTTTTTCAAGCTTTTTGCATAGAATTTTAAATCCAGGTATATTTTTTTTGTACTCGACCCAAATTCCATTGACCTTGACTGATGGTGGTAATGAATTGAAAATTGACTAACTTAATATATTTATAAAACAAGGTACAGGCTACTGTTTCGTGGTAGTAGTTTCCTTTCTTCGTCTGAAAATGTCGATTTTAAAAAATCACCTAAAAGGACTAGTACATATTTAAGTAGGTTAGAAAGTAAACCAGACGGATTATATAAAATGCAAAAAGCGCAGTTTTAGTAGCAGTAGAGCCTTGTGACAGAGTTCATCCAGGGAAGTACTGCCATCCTATCTATTTCTGCCGCCAAACAGTAATGTGGGTATTACTGCGTTCGAGTTTTAACGGGTAAGGGTACTGAGGAAATTACTTTTCAACTCATGTCTCAGGGTGATGGGCGCAGTGGCAGTACCCCTCAGATCTTTGCGATTTAAAGCTCTGAGTGGCACTGCAACTGTTATGGACAGATGTGTAGCTTATCAAAAGGCTCATGACTTGTTCGTCCCATTATTTAGTATCATAAAAAAAAGTTTCGTTTGTAGCTTAGTAATTTAAATGTGTGGATATTTCCAACACTTCAGAATTGATAACAATTATTTGGGTTTTAAAAACAAACTAATATCGGAAATTCCCCGTGGTATCCGTTGACGGTCCCATTAAGCAACATATTTGTGCTTTGAGTAAAGGTAAACAAAATAATTATTGTGTAGGAAAAATTTTATTCATTGATGTATGCGCTTTATCAGCATGGACGGGATTGAACTGGAACTTATTGTATGTAGTATAATTAATAGATTCAAGAGTTACCTAGCGGAAATTCACGTTAGTAAAAATGGAAGTATCTAAATTGATTTGCTCAAATCGTGTTCTTAGGTTTTTTGCGATTCTTACACAATGGCTAAGCACATAGGAGATGAAACTATTTTATACGCTATTTAGATCTGAATAAATACTTTCATTTCATATAATTAAGTTCGCGTAAGTTGTAAGTAGCAAATTCATTTACTTCCATTTTTATTGCACATGCTTAGTATTTAGATTGAGATAACTTTCTTTAGATCAACTGTTTATAAAGTATTTGCAGGTGTTGTTTATTCGGTAATTTTTAAAGCATATTTGTAATTAAGTCTATTTTATCAAAATAACCGTCGTCAAAAGTTCGTGGAATTACATCTATTTGCCAAGTTTTATTGAAATCGATTACCGGAAAGTGCTCTGAACCGGATTCATCCCCTAGTTTGCCACTCTAAGAGGTGGAATATTCTCTTCAAATTTAAATGGGACCTACACCGAGGTACCCTCTTCCTAACAAAAAAAGAATCATCAAAATCGGTTCTCAAATGCAGGCGTAATCGCGTAACACATACGCACACAAACACACAAATAGTCGAATTGAGAACCTCCTTTTTAGAAGTCGGTTAAAAGTTAATCGGCTTTTGATGATCTTTTCTTGAAATTTGCTTACTATAAAAGGGCGGAAATGTTCACAAACAAACTTTTAATCTTAATTCGGTTATCTGTAGATATCAATTATCCTATGGCGTGTCGAACATTAAACTCGTAAATAAAATTTGCCTCAATGTCGCCGTTATGATGATATTGTGAATATTGATAAACCGCATGCTTTCAGCGTGTACCTACAGTACCTACTGTGTGTAAATAAATGATAATGGTAACCATGCAGTTTTGTACGTAAATTATATTACAATATTAGATTCTTGCCATTTGTTTCTCAAGGAAAATTTTATTGATAAATAGATATATCAAATAACAGTATGAATATTAACATAATATTACAATTATTAAAGCGACATCTCTAGCTGCTCGTTGGCTGTAAAGGTATCTGACTGAGTGACAAAAGACATTTATATATTTCTCACAGATGGCACTACGACAAAAATGTGTTAAAACCAAAAATAATGAACTGCAATAAGCACGTAGGAGAATTCGTCAGGTCTGTTGGTTCGTTCTGTAGCTCAGTTTCAAGAGCGTCGAATACGTGTTTGATCTTTGTGACAATAAAATAAAATTTAAGCAAAAATTATTGAATATCATGGCAGTACAACATCGTGCTATTCAATAAAAATAATATTGCAGTATTAATATTGTCATTTCGCCATACTGTTTTGAACAGTACTGAAAAACAAGTAATTTCATACATTTCGATAATTTAAACAAGTATGCGGGAGATAAGCGTTTAATTAAAGTTATTGTAATAAATTTGATCCTGTGTTTGCGGATTGTTATCGCTCGTTTCTTTTCAGTATGAAATGAAATTATCTAACACCCACACGCAATTACGCTTTATATAAAAACGTGTCCTTAATGATAGGTAAAAATATAGAAATTATGGAGACTCTAGAAATTCTCAAATGAAATAAATAAATGCTGTAGTTTTCAAGCTAAGAAACCTAATAAAAATGAATTACATTTTTATTAGGTTTCTTAGCTTGAAAATTTGTCGTTAAATGTATTTTACTAACTAAATATGTAAAAATGCTAAAGTGCTAATTTATTATTAAATAATATATGACTCTTTGTGTATAAATATTATATATATCAAATAAAAGTGACGGGGCGAACAAGTGCAAGGTGTTAAACGACTTGCCTGTTCATAACGAACTTTACATCGCAAATCACTGCACTTCGCCCGTCACCTGGAGACTTGACAAGTTCAATGTGCTTGTAATTTGTGCACCAACACGCTTATCCTTCAAAACCGGAAATAGAGTAGTGCTCACATTTCTGCTTGACGGCAGAAATAGGTAGAAGGTACTTCCCCGGACGAACGTGTTTATTAACAACATAATAATTGTGCAATTTATTATAAAAATAGGAAATGAAACTATTTTTCCGGATTTAAATCGCGTATATTTGTTTTTTCAAACAAACCGACGTTTCGGGCCCTTTACAGGTCCCATGGTCACGATTGACTGAGGTGGTACAGTCTTCAACCAGTTATGTCTAATATTAATGCAAACCACCCTATTTTTTCACTATAGTTACAATAGTTATTAATTAAATACCTTATTTTTAATTTTACAAAGAAAACATTCCAATTTACGCTACATTAAGTTAGTAAGTAAACAAATTTTCGTAGACCCTTTTCTCTGGTCTGGTATGGAGCAGACGAATGAAAGTAAAGTGAGAGAGTATAGAGCAAACGTATAAGCCTGGAAGAGGACCGCCACAAAAAATGTTTTAAAATCAAATCGTAGTGAGAATAACAGGGCTTGTACAAAAAATTATGAATAGTACCTAGTCATAATAATCCAATGGGAGTTCAAAGGTGGAGTTTATTATCTTTCCAGAAGCATATAATAACATGAATTTAATAAACAAAGAAAAAACAGATACGAACTAGAAATTAAAATTAACGGTGGAAACAAAATAAAATAAAGAAATGAAATTAATTACGTAATAAAAATCTAAGAATAAGTAACAAAACTAGTAAACAAACTAAGTAATAAAAGAACAACTTGTATATTATGCTGTAGCAGTAGATCATAGCTCAGCGCGGTTTTGAGCAAAGGTAAGCACTGATTTTCAACTCACCTTACCTACCTATTACCTAGCTATTAAATTATGTATATGTAGTTATGCACGAAGTGAAATACTTTCACAGTATATTACGTATGTAAACATAGGTACACCTTACAGTACAACTTCAGCTGTGTTTCTAGATCAAGAGAAAAGGCACTGGACGTAATAATAACTTGCCTGCAAACTTCTACTGCTATAACTTAGGTCTGCTTGGCTTGCTAAGGCGAGAGTGAATAGGCACTATTTAGGTGCTTGCTTCATCATCGATCTCATGGTCACTTTTCATCAGGTGAGATGGATGTCAAATGCACACTTATTTTTTTATTACAAGAATTAGGGGAATTAAAAAAAATAGTAAATTATTATTTTATTACTTTACTAGTCTTTCATGTCAACCGGGTTTTTTGAAATACACTTGTGGGATATAAAAGGATAAATTTGTGAATGTGTCGCAGAATAAGTATAATGACATAAATATGTTATAAAAAGAATTTAGTTACAGCAGAGCTATCGTACGTAAAAGAAATAAAATTAAAATAATAAAGTGATGACAATTTGCTTACATTCACTTTCGGTGGTTATAGATACAAGAGTTGTGGTAGGTCATTAATTATATGCCACATGTAATGAAGTGTTATAATTTTAACAGTATTTTATTGCATCAGATTTTTTGACGCATTTCTAATAAACACAAATGTTTGTCATTATGTCTACGTAGTTGACCTAAATAAAACGCGACATAAGGCCCATCTAGGTATGCTATAAGTTAGTAATGGACTTAGCTCTAACTTTCGTATGGATAAAAGTTTTACCTTATTAGAAAAGTAAGCCACATGTTTTCTATAGATGCTCGATCGCAGAACGGCAGATTTGTGCAACATATTTATCACTGCGCACTTTAATTTTAAATAACTTAACAATACAAGAAATTGATAATTGATACAGGCCTCGGGACCGATGTGCCCCTCGCGAAATCGTCTTACTTATTGATATATTATTTAGTTGGGCGCTATGCTCACTCGAGAAACTACAATCGTATGACGTTTTATCACATATTTGATTGTGATAGTTCGTTATTACGTTGTTATTTTCATGTTATTGTGCCCTAATACCGCTTGTATCCTAAACACTGTATATACCAATTTAATATATGTATTTCAAGGTCGTATTCTATTCTAATCTTTAGTTGCGCATTTTCAAGTTACTGAATTTAAACTTTAACGAGTTTTGTCGTTGAACTCAAAGTAGTTTTCATCATTATATACTCGTCGCAGCTCGTCGTTAAATACATGGGTACCTTCTAAGTGAAGGCATTATATTTTTCCTAGTTTTTAACCGACTTCAAAAAAAGGAGGAGGTTCTCAATTTGACTGTATGTTACACGATAACTCCATTTGTAAACCGAGTTTGATGATTATTTTTTTGTTGGAAAGAGGGTACCTTAGTAGTGGGCCCATTTAAATTTGAAGAAAATATTCCACCTCTAACCACATCCCATAGGCGGCAAATTAGGGGATGTATGACTTTTGAGGTCGGTTTTTTAGTACTCTGTACTGACATTATGGAAGATATAATGTAATGGTGATTGCACAGGTTGTAATACCCAATTGCCATTAGCATTGATATAGGTATTGAAGTGTCTTATTTAGTGAAAATTTTCGGACGGAGTCAAATTCAAATTGATTTTAATTATCGTCAATCAGTCTTATTATTATTATGTTTATTCTCAAAAATAATTCTTAATAGAGCATAGCAATTAAAATAATATTGATAAAATATTTTAATTTAGATGTAGGCGTTATTATTCTAAGGTACAAAAACAAAAAATTTGCAATAAAATAGAGCAATTTCAATTTGATTTTTTTAAATAAAATATAAGTGCGTTTTTGACCTCCATCTCACCTGATGGAAAGTGACGATGAGGTCGGCGATGGAGCATGCACACCTAAATAATGCCTATTCACTCTCGCCTTGAAAAGACCCTAGTTGTAACGTTCAGGGAACAAGTCTGCAGGCAGGGAATTCCATTCCATAGCTGTTCGCCATATAAATGTGGAAGCGTAACGCGAATCTTTCGTGCGAATCTTTGGAATATACACAACATTGGGGTGGAACCCAAGCCTACGCCTAGTCCCCCGGTGATGGAAAGGGGAAAGCGGAATTAAATCGTGTAATTCCATCGCACACTCTCTGTGATATATCCTGTAAAATACCGATAAACACTCAACTTTACGGCGGAATTTAGATCGGAATTTAGTGGAGGCGAAGCTGCAGAGCCTTGAACAGCTTCGCCTCCACTAAATTCCGAGTCACCCTATAAGCCTCTTGGCACGGTTGTCAATGGAATCCAAAGTGGCCAGTTGATACGTAGCAGACCCATCCCAAAGGGGGGAGCAGTACTCCATGCACAATCCGATTAGTGCTTGGTACAGCTGAAGCAACTGTCCCGGTGTAAAGTAAAGCCTCACCTGGAAAGGATCCCAAGCTTCCTTGCTGCATTTTTGGCCATGGATTCAATGTATTCGCCGAAGTTCAAATTGGACGACAGGTCCATTCCAAGTAGCTGGAGACAGTCGGCTATCGGCTAGCGGCTATCACGAAAAGTTGGAGTCAGCTCAAAGGGACTCCGTTTTGTGGAGAATGGACACGCCTGCGTTTTGGTAGCGTTAAATTTGACAATATTGACATTGCCCTAATCGGAGACTGCCTGGAGTGTCAAATATAAACGGCTGACCATGGACTCTCGACAAGATTGGATTTCCAAGCACTGACCCTTGCATTGGTCAAGTACCTATCTACAAGTGTGCTGTCATCAGCATACGCAAAGGTACCTGGAATTAACATATCATTAATATGCAGCAGAAAGAGAGTTGCAGACAGTACGGAACCCTAAGGAACTCTATCTATCGCCATATGTTCGGAAGAGTAGCTTTTGCCTTGCTTTTCTATAGCCTCCCTCCATATGTGACAGGCATACACAAGAAGAACCCCAGTAGATTGCTCTCGTCGGAATCCGTACTGGCGATCACTGAGGAGGTCGTTATCTTCAAGGTACGATAGGAGACGGTTGTTGAGTACACGTTCCATAGTCTTGCAGAGTATGGAAGTGCCTGAGATAGGTCTACGGTTGACAGGGTTAGCTCTACTTCCATTTTTTGGACAGGTTGCACGTTTGCAAGCGACCACGACACCAGTCTCAAGTGAGAGGCGGTACGGGCGTGTGAAAACAGGAGACAACTCAGGCGCACAGTTACGTAGAACTATTGCTGCAATTCCATCTGGCCCGCTAGCTTTATTCACGTCTAGACTTCGCAGAGTTCTAAGTACCTCTTTTTGGCGTATGCGAACTGGCGCCATAGTGCAGCCAGCTTGAGGTAAAGTAGGTGGTAGGTTTCCTGCGGCATCCAGACGCGAACTCTCTGCAAAAAGTGAAGCAAAGAGATTCGATTATCTTCTGCAGTATGAGCCAGCGAGCTATCCGGTCTCAGCAGAGGTGGCAAAGATGGGCGACAAAAGTTATATTCGACCGCTTTGGCCTGGGACCAAAAGGATTTGCTGCCTGCTGGTTAAGAGGCTAGCTTGATTCCTAGGTCGAACTTGGCCCTACGTAACACGTGTTTGTACTTCTTGGCGGCCATATTAAAAGCTTTATTCAAATTCTGAGTACTCGGAGCTTTGCGTAGCCGCTCACGCGATTCATGCGTCTCTGGAAGCATACCACACCTAGAGGTGCCGGTGATGATTTTATACCGATTTATCGGATATCGACGTTATAACAGGTAAAAGAACTAACACTAATTGCTATTTCGGTAACTACTCTAGCAAACCATAAAGTTTTTAATGCCTGGGTCTGTCATTTAAAAAAAATAAACAACTTCAAAAATACGTCACGACAATCGTGTGTGTTATTGTTTGGGCTGGTGATGTCGGTGTTTATTTATTGAAAACATACCGTAAGTTGCGTTTTTTAAGTTTACCCTGAATATAAATGTTTATAAACTATTCTTTAAGGAGTAATTTCATGGTAAACATTAGAACCACTCAAACGGAATATTATCATATTTACCCAAGTACACCAAAAATTTCATTAGTGCTTTTTAAGTGCGGGATTTGCGGTGTATTACTGCATTTTATTTGAGATGTTTTTGTTGTAGTACGGAGGGTATTTATTTTGCAATGCAGAATAATAATTTTTATTTTTAAAAATTCGTATTTAAACTGAATCCTTTTCTAATTTGCGAAAACAAATGGCCGCCATTTTGCGGTAGGATGAGCGCATCGCGTGAGCGGGTAGTCGTGCATCTGTCCAAGCTTGGTACGCGGACTGTTTATGTGCTTTAATACAACTGCAATCAGCGTTAAACCATGGACGAGCTTGGGGTCCATTAAGTACATCAGAGTATGGTATGTAATACTGCATACCCCAAACGTAAGACCTCGACTACAGCATCAGCACAGCTCGACGAGTCTCTTGAAGTAAAACACGCCTGCAAGGGATATGACGCAAAGAAATGGCGCATTTCGTCCCAATCTGCTAACTTGTAACGCCACACCCGTCCCCTGCCACTAGGGCCCTGATCAGGTGGGGAGCATACGGATACAGTTTTCACCAGATAATGGTCGCAAGTATCAGTAGGACATCTACAACCACAGAGTATCGGTCCGGATAAGTTGTCAGCAGAAGGTCCTAGCAATTAGCCGTATGAGATTCAATATTTAGTATCCTAGTGGCGCCACTGACAAGCTAGGATAGGCTTCGCGTTAACGCAAGTTTACGCGTCTCTCTCTCAGCGTGATCGGCCTTCTGGTACGGGAACAACCATTTTTGATGGTGTGCATTAAAGTTCCCCAGAATTACTAGTTGCGCCGCTGATTGATGTATAAGATGCAGAAATAAAAATGATATGCAATTCTAATTCTCAAATTATATTAAATCTGTCTATGTCACATCACTGTGGGGCACACCGATGATGACGAGAAAGCCTTTCTTCATTAAATGATAAAAGTTAAATGATAGAAATTGAAACTAAATGTACCAGATGTTGAGCCAAAACAGTTAAATTATTATCTGTGGTATATTACAGCGAAATGTCAACGTCAATGTGCTAAAAAAAACTATTGTCATTATATGCGGTAGCTTGTTTTGTTGTCTTTCGTAATTATTTTCTCAATTTTTGTTAAAATTTCTCTTCATATTCGCTAAATGATGATAAACTGTTTTAAGAAAACAATTGGGTTAAGAATTTGAATATGTCGAATTCGTCATCGTCCAGTAATAAAAATCACTCCAAAAAGTCGAACAGTAGTCGAGAGCGCGACAAAAACAAGTCTGTTGCTTCAGAATCCGGTGGATCCAGTCAATGTGATACACCACCACTTACAGAGAAGGTAAGAATTCTTCTTTCTAAATATTTTTTTTTGTGGGTATATTTTCTTTGTAAGAAAATGGAATTGTACCAACAATACGATTCCGTTAAAAGTAGCACCAGTCGAAAAAATATCACCGTGATGTAGTTTTTTCTCGATAGTTACTTGTTCTAATTCCAGGTGGGAGATAGGTCGCGTTGGATTTGAAATTCCATTTCTCAACACTCCTTCCTTTATTCCCCTAGTCCTAGTGTCAAAATTTATGATTTGGAGGTTATATGTTACAAATTTTCAAAAATGAATATCTCAAAAACTATTTATAGTCTAGACTCCTAAATGTTGTTTAGGAGTTCTTTAAAAAAATGTAGCATACGTGTATTACGTATTTATTCCATTTTTAATTTATTTGGCGCCATTTTCTATTGTTGCAATTTTTTTTATTAATTTGTTTTTGTTGGTATGCTTTCTAGGATGGGCCCTCACATGGCAAGTTTGCTGGTGTTGGACCCGAATCGGTGCTGTATATGGCCGATCAAGTTGGTTTTGAAATTAACTCTGAAGCGGCGACAAATCTTGCAGAAGATGTTAGCTATAAGTTACGACAGACTATTTCTGTGAGTATTCAGTTCTTAGATTTTCGTGATTAGTATACATAACATGAAATTATTTTTTTGGATGTAAATTGCACATATTTGTTTTTCAAACAAACCAAACTTTCGGGCCTTATGGTCGGCTGTGATTCTGGGACCTTTAAAGGACTTTAATTATTGGTTTGTTTAAAGAAAGCAATATATGAAATTTAGATAAAAAAAACAGTTTAATTTGCAATACATCTCTGAGTCAATATTTCTTCTGTATATTGGGTAAAGTATTGCTTTACAGCAAAATTTAGTACAGCAAACAAAATGATGAAATGTTACCCTAGTAACATTGCGATGTATTTAAAAGTTTTTAATAAACACTGATTCAGTTTAAATCGGGAATTGAACTCGGGACCTCTGCGTGGCAGACCACCTTGGTAACCGTTCAGCCACAGAGGTAGTTGATCTGGATCTGCATATGATTCTTACAACATTTATTTTGCTTGGTATACAATTTTTTTGAATATGTAGGTCCCAAATTGATGCATATTAATTGTATTGATCTTAAAATTATGATATGTTATTTTATTTAACTGAATAAATTTCTTAATGTATATTTGTATGCTCTTATTTAAAACCTAGTAGGATTAAGTTTTCCAATTTCATTTTAACTTCAACATTTATAATGTTTTTACCCTATAAACAGTAACTCCCTAAAAAACCATAGGGTTTTTTAGGGAGTTATATATAGTTTATATTTTTTTATAGAAAAAAATATAAACAGTACGAAATTTTGAATGTTTTCTATTGCTATTCTAAAATAAGAAGTTCCTTACGTACAGTATATGTGAGTTGCAAAAAAGTATGGACAAAATTGAAAATGACCTTGAGCCATAAAATAACTTTGTAACACTAGCACTCATATTACCCAAGTAGTACCCTTGGTTTTAGATTTTCTAATTTGCAGAACTGTGATAATATTTGTTTATAATATTTATAATAATATATATTTATGTTTCAGGCTATTGCACTACATAGTGAGATGATGAAGAAGTCCCGAGTAGACAGTTGGGATGTGAATATGGTGCTGATGCTTTCTGACACCAGTCCTGTTGTGGGAACTTCGTCATCACATTATGTTACAGTTGGTGATGAAAAACTTTGTTGTCAAGTGGTAAGACACTGCAAAGCCCTATATTCGTGTTTTTAAAAGCCTGGGGGTCTACTTTCGTTCTCTGTCCGACATCTGTCCAAAACAATTACAGTGAAATAAGTAATACTCAACCAGATTAAAAGATAATGTTAGGTATGAAGCTTCATTCGCACCATTTAATTTGGTGGAGTAATACTTATATGACAGTAATTGTTTCGGGCGGATGTCGGGCGGAGAACGTGAGTAGAGCCCCAGGGCCAGATGCCATATGTTGCTGTTTTTCAATAAATATGACACATCAAAATAGTTAATTTATAGTATTTATTACATAGTCATATTCGGAATGTACAAGATTGTATTGTGAATAAACCACTGGGATTTTGTGTTGTTACAATTATCACATGACAAAAGGTTACTAAGGTTAGGTAGGTTATTGCGCGAGAATACCAATACCTTGCTTCTATGTCGCTTCTTGTGCAAGTCGCGACCTCATAGCTGGAACTGCAGATTAGTTGCCTAAGTTATTATGTCAGTCACGTTTATTACACTACCCGAGTCAAGGGACCCTAACTTGAACTAAGTGAGGTGCAATAAAAGGTAGGGTTCCTAATTTGGGTGCCTTATATATGGCGCCTTATATGTAAGTCAATACGAGCGCCACCTTAATTAGGGACTAGAACCATCCTCCATTGATAATTGCATTTGTCAATGGCCTGACTTACTATTAGGGGATTTACTATCTCATTAAAGTTAGACAAGGATCAGAGTCGGATCACAGGATCGGTTTGACGTTAGCACTATATTCCTTTGTGTGGTATTTTTGTCCATATACAAAAATGTATGTGGCTAGCGAAAGTACATTTGCATTGTAGCTGGTCTATTACATGATTACAAGTTTAGTCTGGTTGTTATGTCTCACTGAACTGATTTTGATATGCATCAGTGACTCACTAAGAAATAATAATGTACATGTTTAAATGTGCTTTTTCTACTTTACATAATAGGGCGTAAGTTATGTATGTAATGTAATTTGTTTTTTAAATCTTTTTGTGGAAGAGTTTTCGTCAATATGTAATCACTGCTTTGCTATGGTAATAAGTTTCATTTGTAATAAAGTGAAACTGTTTCTATTGCAAGGTACAAGTAACCCTACTCTCTGCTCATTAGTCTGGTGCAGCAATCAAATGCAGGTGAACATTTAAAACACGGCTAAGCCTGCCTTTTAGCTTTTTGTTGCCCACAATGTGTAATATATTTCATACTTTTGTGTCATTGTACTCAAAAATGCGTTTATATATTTATTAACAGTTTCGAATTGTTTATATTTCAGGAAAATCTACTCAATGTTACTGACTTTGCATTGGTACCACAAACTTATGTGTTCGCGTCACTGCCAACAGTCGCTGTTGAATGGATAACTGACGAGAAGAGTCTGAATAATAGTAACAACATCAGTGTTGCCTTGCAAAATTATTATACTAAGGTGGCTAGAGGTAGGTTATGTATCTAACTACAGATATTCTTTTTATGACATCAGCCTAAAAAAATTACGGATGGATTGGCTCCTTTACAGATTAGGTTTGTGCAAGATTAGAATTCTTGATACTCTGGTCGATGATTGCAGTAACTAAATAAATAAACATATTCAGTGAGACACTACGTGAATATTGTATTGAATCCAGCAAACATTGAGACATTTCATCAGATAGAATGTGGTAACCGCTGCCTAAGTATGTGTCCTTAAGATCGCAAACGCGTTGGCCCCCATGGGATTTCGGATCTGAAGTCTCTTAATCCTGTCACTCAATTTTTTTTAAGTGCGCATTGGACCTCCGTCTCACCTGATGAAAAGTGACGATGAGGTCGATGATGGAACATGCACACCTAAATAATGTCTATTTACTCTTGCCTTGCAAAAGCCCAAGTTATAACATTCAGGGAAGACTCCCTCGGCAGACGCCGAGAGGGAATTCCACTCCATAGCCGTTCGCCATATAAATGTGGAAGCGTAACGCTTCGTGTGAATCTTTGGAATATCGACAACTTAGGGGTGGAACCCAAGCCTACGCCTAGTCCCCCGGTGATGGAAAGGGAAGGTGGAATTAAATCGTGTAATTCCATATACACATCGCAGTAGCTGCACATAACAGCAGTAGTAGAGCTTTTTGTGAAAGAATTCGTCAACTTAATTCTCAGGGTGACGGTTGCAGTGGCAGTGCCCCTCAGATCTTTGCGACTTGAAGCTCTGAGTGACACTGGAACTGTTATGGACAGGTGTGTAGCTTGCCATCAGACACGCGACTTGTTCGTCCCGTCACTTGAATTAAAAAAACCACTCTCCGTGATATGGCCTGTAAAATATCAATAAGGAGGCAACTTGGCTACCTTTACCGTTTCGCTGGTGCTACTTGTCTCCTGACTTGTATCATATATTCCCATCCCAAAATATGCATGAGTAGATAAGGTATGGAATGAACTTGTTCGTTGGTGGAAGCAGAAGCTGTGAGACAAAAGTGTAATTCAAGGATCTGAAGAGCTGTCATGTATGATTTTATTTAAACAGCATCCACTAATTTCCAATTCCATTTTCAGCGATACTAAATCTCAAGAAGAAACCAAAAGAAATAGCCGTAGAAGATCTAACAACGAACACAAGAATCGGTCCAATATTCCCTAACTTATTCAACCTAGCAGTGTTAGTTCTAAATGATGACAACTTGAATGCATTGAATGTGCCTGCAAAGAAACCATTGCAATCAAATGTTTTGGATATGGTAGACGCTCTCTGTTCTAACCCTTGCAGTCTTGACACGAATATACAGCAGCAGGTAATTCTGAAATGAATGCTATAGTTAGTCTTTAGTAATTTGCATGTTGTGTATGATCATTATAAGAGTGAAGTATGCATGCTACAGGTTTGTGCATGTAAGTATACTCTGATCATGTACTGATGTATTTGACACTTTGGATATTAACAGGTTTTGCACAAATTTGTCTGCACTGAATATTGGCAGCAAGAATCGAATTCGACTTCGTTGAATGAAATCATAAGTAACATATGCAAAATATGTGCCTAGACGTCGAGTTGCGGACACCAACCCGTTGCAACATACTATACCATCACAAGAAACCTCGCACACTTATCCGCGCCGAATTGGACGAATGCCGGACCCAAATCTCAGACGATCGTATAATGTCATCACTCATTTAGAGTTGGCACGAAAGGGCGGGCCTTGCGCGAGAGCGACAGAAAGCGCGAGATACTGTTATTCTCGCATAGAGATCTCGCGCTTTATGTCGTTCTCGCGCAAGTCGCGCCCTATCATACTAACACGACAGATTCGACGCGGATAATGTGAACGGTTCATTTCCAAAATATCTTTACAGTGTTGCCACTTTAGTACTTCACAGTATTTTCCCTTAAATTCAGGGTTTTTTTCCCATTTTATTTATTTATTTATTTATTTATTTATTGCATTGTCACACTTATTAATAATTTACGTACAGTGGTTTGTAAGTGTACATGTGACACCCTGTAAATTGTCACAGTGTTCAAAAATAATATAGGTAACTTCGACGCGGACAAGTGTGCGATCACCTTAACAGTATAAACATGGTATGATATTATGGTGTAACGGGCTGGTATCTGCTACTGGACGTGGAGCGCCTATTTTACATGTGGCGGGTGCTGGGTTCTCATGCCATCTAAGCTCTTCCGAGAATCTGAGCATCCTTCTGGGTCTGCTGAAGGCCCCGGTATGACAGCCACGCCTGAGCATAGTAGTAGGATATGCAGTATAAAAATAGTATTGACCTAAAAAATTGTTGAAGTTAATTTAATTTACTTTTTGCTGTTGTTTGTTCTATCTATGTAACTTTTTTGTTGTTTCAGTTTCAACGGCTGTTTCCTGTAATGGTTTCAAATATTCTCGGTAACGGTTCTCTTGCAGACAAAATGGTGGCTATATTGACTAAAATCACACGTACCTGGCCTTCTTTTATAGCTATAGGTAACATCTACTTCATATTCATAGCTTTGGTTTACTTTCTCTTCTAATTTTTATTAATACATTGTATGTAATTCGTCACATTAATGTCAAACAACATTATCTACATGGATGCAGTTTTTCGATAATATAAAGCGGTTGTGGTGACTCATCGATGTTATAACCAGAAATGGGAACGAAATAAGGGACATGTATTCCAGGTAACATATTAGCGATACAGCTCTTACAAATATCAAGTCTCGTTTGCACTGAATATGGACAGGCCAACTACTGACCTGTGTGTACGTCTCCGTATATTCCAAAAAATATTCTGTATTTATTGTAATAAAGATAATATCTCTAACAATGCCGTGCTGCTCTATTCGGTGGTGTGGGAAAAACAGCAAAACATTTAATTACAATATTAAATATGTAATTTATTATTAACAAGTGAAACAGTTTTTTTTCGCTTATTTCCCATATAACCTTTATTAATATACTGTATTATAACGAATCTACATTCGTGTGAACATTATTCCATTTTACATAATCACACAAAGTAAAAAATAAAACTTAACTAACCTCGAGATAAGCTAAAAAACCTTGACATTAAACTTGGCCCGCCGCGCGAATGAATGAATGAAATTTATTTGCTTGAAATATGGTTTACAATAGGTGGTAGAAGTATACATAATAAAACAGTACTCATATTTTACCGCTATCGGTATGCAAATCTATGAATGTCAACATTTTGGCAGCTAAACAATTCTAAAGCAAGTCCTATCATGCATAAAGATACTATGTTATAATAGTAAGTTATTGCCATGTCATGAAGGTGTCAAAAAATATAAATACATTTCTTATCAAATAAGTTAAGTGTTCAAATTTATTGAGAATTGTATGTAAAGAAGTCATTAATTGAATAGAATTTTTTTTCTCTTAGCCATGACATCAGCTGACGTTTAAATAGAAGATTTTTATTTATCATTTTTATATAAGAGGGTAAAGCATTATATATCCTCACACACATGGCCACGCACTGCTATTGGTAGTAACTTAGTTTAGTATAACTATTACAAACTAATCTGTTTGGACCCCTTACATTTACATTGTGAATGTCTCGCGGTTTTTTAAAAAGTTTTTTATTATTTTTTACAAAATTGGATACTTCAAAGATGTACCTACAAGGCAGCGGCAAGATGTTAAGATACTTAAATAACGGTCTACAAGATTTTCGGGGTCCTAAACCACATATTGCCCGTACGCATTTTTTTGTGCTGTAAATAATTTGCTTACTTCTGTCGAATTTCCCCAAATCGCAAGCCCGTAACGAAGTAAGGATGCAACGTAACCATGAAAGGCCTCTAGAGTCGTAGACATAGCGGATATGTCTCGCAACCTTCTCAAAACATAAACATAACGATGAAGATTATTCAGTACTGTTTGAATATGAAGTTTCCACCCGAGCTTATCGTCAATAATTACACCTAGAAATTTTGTTTGTTGTTCTTCTTGTAGAATATGACCATTGTAATTAATATTCAGTTGTAATTAATTTGTCTGACAGTTCCGAACTGAATGAAATTCGTTTTATTAAAGTTGACTGTCAAATTGTTGTTGAGCCAATTAACCACTAATGCAATTGTGTTATTTATATCAGATTCGTAATTTACTACATTGTCTTTACATGGTATCTTTATAGATATATCATCTGCAAATAATACGCATTTGTGCTGGGTTACGTCAGGCAAGTCATTGATATAGAGTAGAAACAATACTGGTCCAAGTGTGCTACCTTGAGGCACGCCGCATGCATTTACACGATAAAGTGATTTATTCGAAACCACGCGAAATTTTCTATACAGACTTTTAATTTCTACCGCTTGGCTCCTGTTAGATAGATAAAAGGCTAACCAGTCAAGTGCTAATCCTCTAATTCCATGATTTTCTAGCTTTTGAAGAAGCAAATTATGAGATACGAATTCAAAAGCGCGACTCATATAAAAAAATATACTAGATATTGGTATTCCTTTATTTACATTTTCCACTATTTCTTGTACCAAATGGAAAACTGCCAATGAAGTGGATTTATTCTGTTGGAATCCAAATTGTTCTGACCTTATTATGTTATATTTGAAATTGAGCAGTCTTGTTGTCATAGCTTTTTCGAAAATTTTAGAAAGCACCGGAATTAATGTAATAGGACGGTAATTGGCCATATCAGTTTTCGTACCTTTTTTATGTAGAGGCTTGACAATAGATATCTTAAGCAATTCAGGAAAAGTGCCATTTTTAAATGAAAGATTCACTAGATAAGCGAGCGGCTCATTTAGTTCACCAGCACAATATTTGATTGCTTTAGTAGATATATCATCGTATCCTGTCGAATTCGTATTTCTTAATGATTTTACTATATTATGTATTTCTTTTGGGTGCACAGGTTGTAAATAAATACTATTTGTCAAAAGAGTTTTGTTTGTGTTGATCAAGCCTTCTTTTTTGAATTTGTTAAGCCAATTAAATAATGATTAAATTCATTGGCAATCGAGTTTGGATCAGTTATACTATTATTATTTATTAGGATTTCTTTTATAAATTGGTCACTATTAGATTACTTAGTTCTGCTTTCACGATTTTCCAGGAGGTTTTTGCTTTGTTTTTTGCGTTTTTTATAAGTTTGTCATTGTGTAACTTTTGAGCTAAGTTTAGACATTTGCGTAGTATTTTAGAGTATGATCTATATTGTTGTTTTTTAGTTTTTGATTTTTTGGCGTAGTATTGGAAACGCAGTAATCTCTTAGTCTTACAAATTTGCCTGATACCTTTAGTGATCCATTTTGGATTTTTATATCTGTTTGATATTTAGATAATTTTAATGGGAAAATTTAGGTTATACAAAAGGGTCAGGGTTTCATGGAAGTATTGCATACATTTATTTAAGTCGTGTTCTTGTAATACTTCTAAAAAAGAAAGTTCTTTCAAGCCGTATCGAAACCGACTTAAATTTTGACTACAAAAATCTCTGATGACATTTAAAAAGTACTCAATAGGCTGCTCAAATTTTTTTAAAACTGGTATGAATAACATTTGTGCCGCATTGTGATAAGATAGATGTAAGTGATGTAATTCAGCTGTAGCGTCGTCAATATTACTAAGTAGATGGTCAATGCAAGTTTGTAGTCTAGTCGGTTCAGTTATGTGTAATGTCAAATTATAATTTTTAAGTATGTCCAAGAAGATTCTAACATTTTTTGATAATTTTGCCTCTAAAGTGTTAATAATGAGGTCACCAGCTAAAATAACTTTAGTTTTTGATTGTTTTGTGTATTTGTGTAGTACTTCATCTAGCTTTGACAAGAAAATGTTTATATTTGATTTGGGCGATCTATAAACACATATTATGCAAATGTTGTGTGATAGTAGCTTAACACCACAGCATTCGAATATTGTGTCTCGAGCATAATTTCTTAGATCTTCTATTTTTTGATATTTCAGTTTTTTATTTATTTAAATACATGTACCACCCTTACTTCTCATGTTTTGCCTGCAGTAAGACGTTGCTAAATCATAACCAGTTACAATTATACGACTTTCCTTACCAACTTTAATCATTGTTTCTGGTAGGCAAATAATGTCTGGACCTTTTTGATTTGAATGTAATTCAGAAATTGCTATAATGATTTTTTAGAAACATACCCAGGTATATTCTGGTGCATCAATTTTATATAATTAGGTTTTTCATCATTAACGAAAAAAAATAATTATTTTGGCATGAACAAGGCGAGTCTAAACTTACTGGAACTGTAATGTTAGGCTCGTTAAGATATGGGTCTTTCAGACTATATAGATAATATAATGTGTGATGTCATTTATTAATTCATTCAAATTTTCAATAATAATTTTATACCCAACGTTGCTCCCCAAACCCCTTGCAGTATACATTTTCGAACAGTATTCCAATTTTTTGTTACTATCTAATAAATAAACACATTCATGGTACTTGTTGTCCCGATATAGCAGATTATTGAATATTTCTACTCGTTTATTGTATGTTTGCATAATTACCAGATTTATAAGTGGGCAAACAAAACATTATATTTGTATGTTATACATTTTGTAATGTGTTTCGGATATTTGCTATTAATCTAGAATATTTGTGAGTTTCTTTCAAGTCTGAGTCACCTATAAATATAACACAGTAGTCATTAAAATTAAAATCGCCTAATTTATTTTCTATACCTTTCAGAAGTTGACTTATACTAGCTCCTGGAGTTATATAATGACAGATGTCGGTGTGGTCAATTTTACTTCTAGTATATTGCAAAATTTTGTTTCTGGAATTGCTGCTTATAATGTATAATTTTCTTTTCTTTTGGTGGCTATCATTTGTATTTATTAAATTATCGCTTTTGTTATTCGTTTCTGTTTCTTGATATTTATTGCGTGATTCCAATATGTAGCCTTCGTTCGTCCCTGTTTGCTGGACCATATCAGCCTTCTTTATAGTATTTGTATGTTTTAATAAATTCAGATTTTCATCTTGTTGTCCCTCTTCAATTTGCTCTGTGATAGAATTATCCATGTGGGAAAACTCCAGTACTCTTTTTTTCAGTGAATTTCGTTGGATATTCGTAGATACTTTCTTTGTAGATGAACAAATTTGTGACAAGGCTTTATTTAAAGCTTCTAATTTAGTGATACGATTTTTTAAGGCATGATTTTCCGAAAGCAGATTTTTTATTTCTTCATCAGCGGATTCTAATTCTAATTGAAGTTTGTAATACTTTTCCTTTAATTCCTCTGATTGTTCCCCTTGGTTAATTTGTATTTCCGGACAACTTCGGTTAAGTTTCGCAGTAATGGCTGACAGATTCGAAGTTTCGTCATCAGACAGTGAGTCAAAGGAATTACATGTTGGAATGTTTATTCGATATTTTCGGTTTGTAACAAAGCACGGCGTTTCTACAACGGTGTCCTCAACATTCGCATATTTATCTTGTTGCCAACAGCAATTACATTTCCATATTTGTTTCATTCTAGGACTCATCAAATAAAATCTGGGTGATGTAACGTTCGCACATGATAAATGATAATGCCTCCCACAAACAACGCATACCATAAACCTACGATCCCCAATCTGATCATTGCATTTTCCATAGTTTGCCATAGCGGAATTATGTTAGTGTCTCACTCTAGCGGAATTTGGTGTAGAGAATCGATTCTTTCGTATTTTTAATAAATTTGTCACTTTGCTAATGAACCGATGCTGTTCTCATGCGGAAAAATGTGTAAACAAGGAATATATTAATGAGCAAATGTTGCTATTTCTCACTAGATGGCGTTAGACAAATTTATTTCGATCCCTTGGGTTTCAACCCACTATCAACAAATTTGTGAACAACCTGGTCGGACGGAGTTGACGACACCCATTGACTGCACCCGTCAATTGTTTCAAATTCGGGCTAGCCAATCGGAGCGCAGTTGTCACAGTAATGATATGGCGTAATAGTTTTCAAACAAATTAAATGACATTTCGTCTCTATTTCTGGTTATATACTCGATGTGGTGACTTGAATAGAGAAAGGAATGTTGAGCGGATGGATGTAAGAAGAATTACCAAACAAATTTATGACGCAAATGTGGATGGAAGGGTTTCAGCATGTGAAGTGACGTCTTCAAATAGGATCCGAAGTGACAAGATTAAAAGAAGTTGTATGAAAAGGTAGTTGATGTATGTGAGGTTCGACATTTGTGTCAGGATAGAGTAAGGTGGCGTTCCATGGTCTCTGCCTACCCTTCCTGTGGGATAAGGGCGTGCTAAGAGCTTATATATGTATGAAAATACATGAAGTAATAAAACGTCGTCTTTCGTTCCACTCAGGGTTCTTAAATTTTTAAATTTATCCATCGATATGGCAATACGTTTATTGAGACCTAATTAATTTTTTTTTTAGGGAAAGGCATACTCTTCGATTATTTATCGCAAGGCACAAAGGAGCGGCTCACGGCGCCGATGATCAAATGCGTCATGGCACTCGGTCGAAGGGCGTTGGTCGAGTGTCTTGGCGACTATGTGGATCATTTGGACGACTGTATACACTCGCAGACAATACTACGACGGCGGTTGCAGCCCGACCTTAGAGAAGCAATACTCGTAAGTACAATAAAAACAAGTTGTATGCAAACAATGCCGATTTTCAGTATGCAGCAAAAACATAAATTAAATATTTCTTAAGTTTTCGCGATTGTTACACATAGAAATCGTAACGGGCCCTTTACAGGTCTCATGATCACGACTGACTGAACAATCACATTTGTAATTAAATTCTATACAATTTCAAAAATTAAACTTTCCTTTTACTTACTTGCACGCGAGCGACATGTGACGCGATTTGTGGGGGGTTGACCCTCGCGTCCTACAATATGCGCGCTTTTTTACTTACATTACTTTATATGAATAAAATAAGAACAGGCGGAGAAAATTTTATACAGATCCGATGTTGGCAAGCATCCCATGGCGACAGACGAGGCAGTAGGCTGCACGGCGTGCTGTAAAACCGCTGGGCAATGTTGATGTTTTGGGATAAATGTGAATTTAATAATTAATAGGGCTTCGGTCGAAAATCAAAATTTAGTGGGTTCTCTGCATTTAAGAGGGAGCATGCCAAAAAAGTTTTGTCGTTGGCTCCGCCCAAATTTGTGAAACAAATGTATGCCTGAAGTTCGCGTGACGCGCGACAGGAGATGTTGAATTTTGTTTAAAGTACCATATTCGTTTTAGCGGAATAACTCTAAAATTAAAGGATTAAAAAAAAATCCGTAGTGACAGTTGTCGATCATACATAAATATAATTAATTATCTAATTTTTGTCCTAATAACCTGGCATTTCGAGGATAAATCGAAAAAATTTGAAAATTAGAGGTAATTTCGTGATTTTTATCTATCGAGGAACCTTTATTGTTTTATGTTTCTGATTAATGTCTATGCTTGAATATTATATCGTGTAGTTACTCATACAATATTTTATTTTTAACTTTAAAGTGGATATACCCCTCTGAAATCAAATCGAAGATTAGGAATTTTTCCTCTTCTCCCTCTTAAAGAGAAATATCTTTATATAGGCTGTTGATTTGCATTCTTGCCATATTTAAGAAATTAATAATAGAAATAATGTTAAATCATCGATAAATATTAAAAAAATATTCTGTTCAATATTCTGACTAATTGTATCTAGTAAAGTTTTGTAAAATTATCCCCCAAGTGTACTCACCGCAGAAGACAGTGACCCCGCCACTCGCTGCACCTATTCACTAATCGATTTACCTATTTTTTATATCATGTTTATGTACTAGTATTGTTATAATTTACTAATTATTTACATGAGTTAGAAATGTTGACGGAAAGAAGATTTTTTATAACTTTTTTGGTATTTACCAACTTTGGGTTACATGAAAGTAGTGCTAGAAGTACCTAGCCCCACAGCCGGTGGCAGGCTCCGTACCGGAGCCAGCCACAGATATGCAGGGTTTCGTTTCAATTTAGCACATTCTTCACAATAGAAAAAGCAGAAGGAAACCGATGATTTGGGCGCGCAATTCTTCGACACTCGTAATTTGCGTAAACTAAACGTTTCACATCATGCCATAAGAACGCACTTGATGGTAATGCTTGATGGTTTTTTTTTGCACTAATTCTTGTTTACATCTAATTACATCACTCCCAAACTACGTTGGATTTCGTGAGATACTAGAACGTATGCGCGATGTCAGCGGAACAGACGCAATACGCAAGGTGGACTGATGATCCACCAATTACGCGCTCGATACGATACTTCCCCCGTCTCTACTCGTATCCTGCCATCAAATAGGTCTAAAATGCATATTTTCTGCGCATAGTGCGCATAGATCATTGTTCAACTGGTTGTCGGTACCTGTGCCACGTGTAGTGCAAGTCACCCTTTGGATCAAACTTGGTTACTGCAATGAAATAAGAATTTAGGAAATTGATTTTTTATTAATTTTTTTAGTGATTTGGGATCAGTTTCTGATATGGAATGACCTCTGTAAATATGGCGAGAATGCAAATCAACACATTGTATAAAAAATATGTGCAAAGTTCGATATTTTCTTCTGTTCTTTTTTTTTCGGGATTTTATTGTGATCCAGTAAAGTACATTTTATTGTGTAACGAATTAGCACATTCTTTAGACAATATCCTTAGGTTGTATTTTTTTAATAACAAATTAAACATTTTACTCCTCACTAAACGTGAAGCAAGAGCGTTAATCACGAAATGGTTGTTAGGACGCAGTTACGATGAAGTTGAGGAACTTCTTATTATTAAAGCCTAAGTATACAAAACCCTTTACGCACGCACGCACGCAAGCAACCACGCGTGCACTCGCACACACACACACACACACACACACGCACGCACGCACGCACGCACGCACGCTCGCACGCGCGCAAGCGCGCACGCGCACACGCGCGCACACACACACACACATACATAAACATACGCATACTTTACAAACTTCTGTTCTTTTGTTCATATTCAGTTGTTATGCTTGTGGAGAGAAATAAATACATTATTATTATTATTATAACGATACCTCCAACTAACACTACGCCAACTTAATTTTTGGACCTGTTCTGTTTTTATTTTGTTTTTTGTTTCTTTAGGTTTTTTTTTCACAAAATTCATTTTTTTGTTTTTTTTCGAATTTTGTGTTTTGTTTCTTTATTATTTTCCACAAAATTCGGGGAGGATAACATTACTAAATAAAAATGGCTGTATACAAAAATAATAGAAACTGACCAAAAAATAAAGTTGGTGTAGTGTTCAAGGGAGGTATCGATAATATCCTTAGGTGTATTGTAAATTTTTTTAAATACCCTTATTTGAAAGTAAATACCTAAACCGTTTGATCTAGCAAAGTGTTTCCCGTTTCTCCTCCAGTGACTAGCCTTAATCAAACTGAAACTTGAGACAGCACGTTACTTAACTGGGAACTAAACTTTAGGACATTTGTACAATTGGGCGTTAATTACTTAAATACAAAATTTTGAATGGCTAAACATTTAACTTATTCTTTTTATTGTTTTTAAAGAATCATTCTTTGTGTGAATTATAATAACTTAATATATTTTTCTGTCATTATTGATCTGTTTCATTTTGTGAAATAACTTCACTAGTTTGCTAATTATTAAACACTACATTTGAACACAAAGAAAAATTCCTTCGATCCTACAGGACTCAAACCTGTGACCACGGGATTCCGTCCCCTTTGCTTTACCAACTAAGCTACAGATCGAGTTACCAAGTCGACGAAATTCTTCTGTGTCTGTTGATGATTGATTTTTGCACATCTGTGAGAGATTTTATGAACCTTCTGTGTTTCTGTCCTTTCAGGATACGTCGACTTGCTTGTTGCGATCTGAACCTACAACTTATTTAGAAGATTACGTAACGACTGACTACACTTTGTATGAGATGCTCGGTGACTCTATTATGCCAAGGCGAACACTGTTTCCCTATAAAGGTATTTATAAGCAACAACTCATAACATGTCACGGGTCCCTTATATTTAGGCCATAGTCCGCCAAATAGGCCCAATGCGGGCGGACAAATCGATACCTCCAATGAACGTTACTAACCTTATTTTTTGGTCATTTTGTGTTATTTTTGTTAACAGTCATATTTATTTCCTATTAAGCTCTCCGAATTTTGCGAAAAATAAAAAGTACAGGCCCAAAAATTAAGTTGTGTTCATTGGAGGTATCTAAATTAAAGTCCAAGAAGGTGCATGCCACCACAAGGACTCGAACGTCAAGTTCTCAATTTAGAAGTAACCGTTATCTCCCTGGGCTACTATACATAGCTATAGTAATTTTTAGGTGAATACAATCAGGAATTAATCTATAGTTGATCCTATTTGCCAATGAAACAAATTGCGTTATACGTATTTTGTTTTTCTATTATTTAACGCAAAGTCGACATCAGCTGTGTGTACAGTCAACAACACATCAAGTTACACACTTGTTAAAATATTGGAACAAGATCCTTCAATGCGTTGTTTGATGTGCTGCCGTCTGTTCTATACAGATCGGTTACATAAAAAAGGTTGCGTAAAAAAAAAACAACTAGATGCTGAGAAGCAATAACGTGTCAACCATCATGATCATATTTTTGTAAAATGGCATTTAAAGACCTTTTCGTTGTTTGTTACTATAAAATGAAAACTTTTGCGTTTGTGTTTGTTGTTGTTGGGGAATTATAGTAATAAATCACAACAATTAATCGTTCCTACGGTGACAACATGACAACAAGCAAAAATTTTCGTTAAGTAAATTTTAGAACTATCAAAAACAATGAAAAAATTTTAGATGCCATTTTCGCAAAACTGTGATCACGTGGGTTGTTGACATTTTATTGCTTATCAGCATCCAACTGTTGTGTGATAGCTAGACTTAAAAAAGGAATCCATGTTATATTACATGAGAGTTATTCTAACTTAAAATGATGTTTTCAGATAAAGCCACCGACGACGACACAACTAACGAAAAGAACGCCGACGAAGAATTCTCAGTGATCCCACTCCGACCAATACTTCGGCGGCCGAAAGTGCGCCTTATCCCCTTCACAATTAGACCTAAGAATAAAATACCTAGGGAAGCACTCTTCGACCATACGAGATTCAGAGCAGACAGGCGGATCAAAATTAGGATAAAAGGTTGTCGGTCAAAAGATATACCATCGAGATGTAGACGACCGATGGATACAAGTGATAGTTATACGAGGGGCGGTGTTGTGGCCGCCAGTGGACTCTTGCATAGGTTTAGGTATAAATTAAACAAACAAAGTGCATTTCCAATATTTGGAGCTTTAACGTTGTAAGTTAATTTGTAAGCGAAATATAACTTATTATTTTTACTGTATTTACTGTTTTATTTATTTTGTATCTGGCTTTGCGGGTTTGTACACGTACAGTCTGCATCGGTAGTATAATTTCGAATAATCTCTATTGGCCATTTGCCAACACGCACTATTATTGTTTGAAATATTTCTGAGTAATATTCCCTATGACAAGCGAATTTTAATTAGGGTTGTCTATGTTCATAATTCTGCACACATCCTTATTATGTACATACCTTCACACCTGTCTCTCACTGGGTTATGCAGATATGTACTCCATCCACTATTGTTCTAACATACCGAACGCTTCACTCGCATCCGTCTTATGAAAATTCTTGCAATTTATCTATGTGTATTGTAACATGATATTTATATATCGCACCTTTTGTGAAACTGTAACTTTTAAGAAAAGTGTATTTTTTGTTTTTAGGCCTTCTGAGCATATTGGTAGAACTCTTAAATGTTTGATAAAGTCCGTGACGTTGAAAGGAAAAAAGTTTTTTTTTTAATTATGGTTTATTTTCCGCGATCTTTAGTTAGATTTAGTTAGTAGATCTCTACACCTTGACAAAAAAAAAACATTTTAGTCAATCTAAAAAATAAAGAAAAATTAAGTCTGTTTCAGCCATCACATTCTCATTTCATGCAAATTCGGAAAAATCAGATACAAAAAGTTAAGTGGGGCCAAATTTGGTGAATACGAGGGGTGTGGCAAGAGTTCGTATCATAATTCGACAAGTTTTAATGTTCTGATTTAAAATGAGAAACGGAATACTCGAAATTCCGTTTTCTCCATCTTCAAAAAATATATCTATCGACCTAACTTTACTTTTTTATTTCTATTTTTTATTATTTTCTTGCTATTTTTAGAAAAGTAACGTCAGTTGCTTAATAACGAGTTCTAAATTAAGAACTAAAAACAAATTCCGAAAAAAGTTTTTATTTAACCTTAAAATCACGTATTTATCAAATGAGATTCTAAGGCTCAACTCACACTGGCGCAGAGTCGTAGCGTCGCGACGCGTCATGTTTTTCGCCTATAGTATATTCATCTCTATTTTCCCATTATTAAGGTACAAATTTGTGTTACATAAATATAGAAACGGGCGTTACTTGAGCGCAGTGAGGCGTCAGACGCCGACCACACTGTGATCCGGGCGCACTAAAGAGAGCGTCGTCGCGCGACGACGCGCGTCACCAAGCGTTGTAGTTGACAAATAGGACGCGACGCGGCGCTTGAGTGAACGTGAGTTGAGCCTAAGATTCATTGTCATTGAGGGCAGACAATGAATCTTAAAAAAAATAAACGAACTTGGATATCTATTTATGAACAGGGCGTTTATCGCCTTTTCCATTAAAACAAGGAAACGATATCAATACATGACGAGGATGTACGGTAGAATCTTTGCCTACCCAAATAAATGGGTGCAAAATAATAAAAGAAAATCGAAAATTTTTCATCGCAATTTTTAATTAATACAGACAGATTTTATCTCTCGTATTGCGTAAGTATCATCAGTGAGTGTGATGTGTATATATTAAATCGCCTTTGGATCCTGCTCTCATGCTAGACATATATATTATATACATACGCATAGTACTTTGGCTATTTGTACTCTCTATCAAGACCATTTCATTATGCATTGCGCCCTCTATGGGAAAATGAAGAAATACGTGCTGTCTCTGTTTTTGCGTATCCATAGTTGCGATATGTACTCGTACACGTGCAAATTTTACTTAACAGCACTGGTTCAAATTAAATAAACAATTTTTTGTACTTTCAGTGGTAGTTCGTATTTCAGTATAAAATACTCCTACGTTGTTTGTACAACGGGAATCCCTTGTTGTCATCACTTGTTTATTTATTTATTTGTGAAGCTTGATAATGCGGTCACCCTACACTTGATACAGTTAGTATTACGGATGTTTACAACGGTGTTGAGTCGTGCGGCGCCGGCCATACCTACCTGCGGGCGCCGCCGGCACCGAGACGCGGCGGGCCATCGCGACGCCGGCTCTATTGCTGTCGCCGCCGCTTTTATACCGAAACGTGCAAATATACTCCTAGACTTATTTAGAGGAACTCTAAAAAAAGGTTGAGTTCTGATGACAACGTTCATATGAACCACTTTGCTCAGAGGCTTCTACTTAGGAACTTATGCGCTAAACTTGGAAGGCGATGTAAACTGACGACGTATGGGGCGAAACTAATTTTTTTTAAAGTTACACTATGTATTAGGCGGGTATTACAGGACGTCTCTACTTTGTAAAAAAATATGATTTATTTCACTGGTGGAACTGTTAGGGCGCGTTCCCATTAAGTCGTGACGACAGATAGTCGTGTAGTTTATAGTATATAGTACAACACGATTAACTGTCCTTCACGACTTTTTTGGCGTTACGACGACAGACTGTCGAGACAATGGGAAGCTCTAAAACAACAGTCGTCTGACGATAAACAAATCGTCACGATAAAAATGTGACGACAGATAATCGCAGCTACTATTGTCGTCACGTTTTATTTATCGTTGTCGGCATGTGCACCGTTATAATTGTAGTCACGATCTAGTGGGAACAGTTAGACACGACAGTCGTGAAATGATAAAATAAACATCCACAAGACAGTCGCGACAGATAGTCGTGATATGGGAACAGGCTAGACGCGACAGTCGTCCAACAATAAATAAAACGTTACGACATAATGGGAACGAGCCCCTAGGTCACGTTTATTACACTACCCGATTTCAAGGGACCCAAACTCTAACTTAGGGAGTGGGTCCCTAATTTGGGCGACTTATATATAAGTTAAGGGGCCACGCCCATCCTTGACGCAGCAGGGCTAGCTGCAATTTATCAAAGCTACTCTAATTTTCAGTGATAATAAACAAATCAACGAGATGGTGCAAGAGGTTGCATAGATTTTTATGAATAGTTTTTGTTTTGTTTGGGATTAGCGCCATCTGCCCATACTAGGAAGGGTTAATTTATAAATTAGTTTGTAACACCCACTGCCATCTATTCACACGCATATTTGTCAAGTTCTGAATATAATTTTAGCTTGTGATCAATATTTGAATAATAAATAAATTACAAAATGAATTACATGGAAAATAACTGACTTCTTATATTTCGTATTAAAGAGGAATTAATTGATATCCACAGCCATTTACGTAATATAAACTACTTCCAGGCTATTTATCAACGCCATCTAGAAATAATATGGAATTTTGACCTATTTCAGAGCTACGATCTGTGTAGGGAGATTAGCAGTCCTCTTGTGTTATCGGTCCATGGTAGAACATACAATGATGTTTCGTCGCATTACTTTCTCAAACTCGTATCTTAAAGCACAAAGTTACTGAAATGCAAAAAATGGATTTTATTTACAAATTTTGCAGACTGATTTCACATCACATTTCCTTCATATTCACACACTGGCTTTTACCTATTCTTACAGTAATGCATCCAAATTGATACCCCTGACAAGAAATTTAAAATAAATAGAAAGATTCTTCTGAATAATCACTCCTTATAAGGTACAAGTTTGAGAAAGTAAGGCATCGATTTGTAAAGACATAGATATGGTGTCTCAGAGACATAAAACATTTAAGAATAGCTATACACATAATGTTGAATTGTGTTTCAGGTGTAGTTTTATTACTTTTAAAAATTGAAGTAAGTTTTTTACTTTTATGTCTCCTTTTAAAGTAGGAAGTTAAGCCCTTTTAATGAATATCTCTTATTCAATTGTTGTGCATAGTTGTAATAAGGAATGCAAATTTACTTAATTTTTTATGTACTTACCCACTTTTTACAGTTTAGTCATTAATTTGTGTTCTGTAGCTATGCCAATAAAATAAAATATACCAACTTTTAGTTGAAATCAAAAGACAATTGCAATAATTCCATTTTCAAATTAAGTGTATGTGGCCAGTGGTTTATATACTCACGTTTTGAAAGATTGTTTGTTTCGACTTTAGTTGTGATATTGCTCTCGTCAGTCGTCAGTAAAGGTAGACGATAAGCGATTGCGTCGCTACTGCATCGCGTTTGCATCGCTGCTAAAAGCCGGCGTGTGTAACCGGTCTTAGGTTATATATTGGAAAAGGATTTGCCAATCGTTGTAACGTACTCGTCGATTGTTTCTCAGGGTGTGCTATGCGTACAGAGAACATGAAAATACGCTATATAAAAGTACGCTATTGCTAGGAGGCTCCTTTCTGCACCCCGGTTCTATTAAAACTTATTTGGATTATTTCGTCATAGACGCTGCGGTGTTACAGAGGCCCCACTTCGGTCCCATCTTACTATTTACAAGTTCTGTGAAGTGCGTACTTTTTGGAACGGTGCCTGGGTAAGGTACTTCGTATTTATTTGGTGGCCCGGCGATCATTTCGTTCCCGCTGTGCTCTTATAAAAGTTGTAGCTTTTACACGAAAATTGGTTTTCTTATTAGGTACTGTAGACTTGTAGTCTTCATTATGTTATTCGAACATTCTTCTCGACTGTTTACTACGCGAAAGATTTATTGCCTTATAATCATCTTGCACGCTTTTGGTTTTTGAGGTCCACATTAATTTACTTTCATTGCTCGTAAACCAAACTCGTACATATTATATGTACAGTACATGTGGGTGGATTGAGTGTGATTATGTTCCTTGGATATCTTTATCTATGATTCTTGTTGACAAGTAATGTCGTAATAATTACGTATGTCAATACAATAAAAAAATCGGAACTCATGAATTATAGCCAAGTGGGTTACATAATGTACCTTTACCTTCAACAATACATACATTTCATATTATCTATTTGTTTAATTACTTTTATCGTACACACAAACGAAAACACAATATTTGTAGTAATGAAATCTGCAGTAGTTGAATAAGTTTCGCGGTTGCAGTTTTCACTAGTTTGGACCACAGAAAAATAATGAGCCATCTACACGGTTTTACGGTTATTAAATTGTCAATAGCACATAGACTTCTTGTAA